AAGAGAGAGATTATGAGTCACCTCAATCTCTGACACAGGTGCCTGGTCAGGTACCAGCCTGTCAGGATATCAATGCAAGGAGTGGTGTGGCTGTGTAGTGTGTGGTGTGGAACAGTGGGACTGATTACCAAAGCCACCACCTGTCTCGTCGCGCAACAGTCATCGGTGGGTGGAAGACTTAGGGGGCGGGGACAAAGACTTAGAGGACAAAGTCAAAGACTTAGAGGCCCCCAGCTCCTTTTCAAGCATCGTCTTCGCGCACGGACTTTTCATGCATCGACTTAAAAATTTTCGAAAGCACGGATGAAAACACGTCACCAAATCCGGTCACGACTGACGTCGGCGACTGACGTCAGTCGGATTCTGGATTTTTAAAGCGGGGATGACGACCCAGTCACCAGTGCGAAGACATAAGGGACACCAATCTTGCCAAGAGAGCAAGACTTAGGCGGCAGTCCGGGGAAGACTTAGGGGCGATCAGTCGAAGACTTAAGGGCCGATCTGGTGTTGTTGTTGAAAATCGCGAAAAGGAAAATCGCGAAGATCGACCATGGCCCTGGAGTCGGACGCACGGCGACACCGGCAGGAGGAGAGGATACACTCCAGGGCCAGTTGGCCAGGAGGGGAGACAAGCACAGGGTGTCGCTCAAGAGGGGGAAGCACCATTGGTGTCGCTCAAGAGGGACGAAGCACCAGTTGGTGTCGCTCAAGAGGGGAAAGAAGCACCATTGGTGTCGCTCAAGAGGGGAGGAAGCACCATTGGTGTCGCCAAGAGGGAACGAAAGCACCATTTGGTGTCGCTCAAGATGGGGCTAGCGAAACGCATCATGGCCGAGGAAAAGGATCGATCGTCATCGGCCGAAAGGCACAACGACCGGTCATTCAACGAATAACAGAGCTCCTGCTATCAGACCGACGGCTGAGGGCAGTAGCAGTAGCACTAGAAGCAGTAGTAGCAGTAGCGGTAACGACAGGCTAGTAGCGTAGCTTGTAGCCGTTCAATCAAAAAGAAAAGGACGCCATTGTCCTCTTCGATTGGTGGCTGCTAGCAATGTGGCTTGGATTGGCTCCTACCGACTGATCAGTTCCCTTGAAACCCTAACTCTATCTACGGTGACGTACCAGTCCAGGCAGGAGCAAGTGTGCTTCCACATTGCTCTGCTTAGAGTCATGGCGATAGGGGTTGTGGTTGGTGGTAAGCCTGCGAAGCTGTCTGCGACCAGCTATAGCCAACTCCTGATTTCCTCTTTGCCTCTACGGTATCTATCAGAGGCGACAACCAGACAGAGGAGGTCGGAGCAAATGAGAGCTTGCATGGTCTCAAGGATGAACGCTCAGGAGGCCTAGACTGTATGGCACTCGGGGCAAAAATTGCTTGCTCTCTCTGATTGCCCACAAATTGCTCCTATGATTCTACATGTACATGTATGGCTGCTCAGTTTAAGTCAAAAGCAAGGGTACCAAATGCTCAAATCTTCTGGGCACGGTCCAGACGAGGAGAGAATTGCTCTGCTCTCTTAATGGGGCACCGTACAAACAAAGAAAGCACACTGTATCAGTAGAAGTATGTGTACCTGGTAGTATTATCAAAGAAAGCATTGTATTAGGGCAACATAACCTGTCATTAGGTAGCTAGTAGTACACCATGAACAATGAAACTTCATGCAGCAGGTTAAAAAAATAGCTAGCTAGAGAATGCAAAAAGAAAGAAAGAAAGAAAGTACATGTATGCATACTCTAGCTAGCTAGTACTGCATCAACTACTAGTCTAGCTAGCTAGCTAGACCAGTCATTCAAAAGTACCTTTACCTCTAGCCCTATCTTCCGTGGTAACGAGCAAGTGAGAGCCCCTCTGAAGCTCGTCCCCTCCTTATGAGGCCTTGAATGTCAAGTCCCCTTGAAGCCTCGATGTCAAATAAATTTTCCTTCCGCCAAGCGAACAGAGTTGAAACGATGCGATTCGGAGTGGATTAAAGATCAATGGATCTTTCAAGGACATTGTGTCAAGTCAAGCAATCACAAATACGGTACGTCACCTCCAGATGACTCACGAGGAGAATGTCGCATGATTAGATTTGTTTCTTTGTGTTTCCTTGCTACGGTCTTGGGCAATTTGGCACGGCTAGACCACTGTATTAGGCAATTGCAATCACACATACGTCACCTCTATGACTCATGAGGGGAAGTCGCCAGATTTGACTTGCTTCCTTGAGTCTCTTTTCTACGTTCGGGGCAATTACGTACTTCTGACGTTAGTTGAAATGAAGTTGAACTCTTCGCTGGAACATCTGGGCAATTCAGTAGACTAGAACTGTCTACTAAGACCTTGCATCCAATCTTGAGTTGTCTCCAAATGACTTGTTGAACACGTCAACCACCAAAGGCCTCTGAGCTCCTTTTGTGTTCTTTGGCTATTCAGAGTGGTTGAGGAAGAAAGTGTTCTTTATATATTTCGTGACATTCGTTTCAACTTACGCTACAGAGAAGCACCAGTGCGGCAAGTTGATGTTTTCCGGCGAGCCAAAGCTTGGCCGGGCAACTTTTAGCGGCAATTGAGGCGTGCTGTGTACTGTGTACTGCTTTAGTAGACTACCGTACTCCTTTCGCGTGAGCACTTGGAGGTGACTTTGGTAACACAATCTTTTGGCAACGTCATCGCACCATCAAGTGTCCTTTGGTTTCCTGACTGCCCAAATTCCAGCAGCAGATCCAAACGAATGAACAGAACAATCACTCACTCATCAGTCATCACAGGCCTGGTGCCTCGACCGCCGGAAACAAGCCTCACCACCTCACCGATCTACCTGTGTTGGGTTGGGACCGTAGCTGCAGCCTTGACCCAATGCACCGTAGCTGTGGAGGAGGCGTCCAAGGCCAAGATATACGTTCTACTAGCTACAGTAGCTAACTAGTAATTGCACTGCACAAAAGCTCTGTTGTATGTGGAAATTAAGATTATATCTAATCGTATGCATGGAATTCTCGTAATATGTAATACCTTGTAGACCGAGACTGTAGCCATCTGCGACATAGCTAGCTAGACTTGGGTTTTCTGTGGGTCGGGATTCTTTCGTTCAGTCCAGTCAGGACTGCCACCTTACACCCGGTTTCCAGAGGTAGCAGTGGCATTGTTCGAAAGCTGGGCAAGTAGTGCTAGCTGCTGCGGTGTCAAATTCTGCAACTGCTGTTGCGTGCTTGCTGGTGGAGCAGCAGCAGCAGTATTCAATCGGTTGCCAGCTGCAATGGCCGAGGCCAACGTAGCCAATTGCGGGGAAGATGCCGCCTGAACGTCCGGGTTGGACCGCGATAGCTCCAAAAGTGTAGCTGGGAGTTGCTGAAGTTGGAGTTGCGCCTGCGATGCTTGCTGTTGGGGAGTCGAAGGGAGCTGCAAGTGCAATTGTACCGGTTGCTGTGGCTGCTGCAAGGCCATACCTTGCGCCTGGGCGATCTGTAGTATCGCGGAAAGATCCACATTGCTGGGGATAGCCTGCGTACCCGCAGTAGCGAATAATCCATTGGTAGAAGCGCTTTGCTGCTGCTTCTGCTGCAAAATGGCCAAAGCTTGCTGCAACAGGGTGTTTGAATCCATGGACTGCTGCTGTTGTAGCTGCTGCTGTTGCTGTTGTAGCTGATGTTGTTGTTGTTGCTGCTGCTGCTGCTGGAGTTGGGCCGATGCAATGGCCCGCTGCAAGAGAGCATTCTGTCCTAACTGCTGAAGGTTTTGCTGCTGGAAAGCCTGCTGCAATAGCAGATCCTTGACAGCATTTTGCAGCTGGGCTTGGTTGCTTGCCTCTTGCCCACCCAAGTCTGTTCCTGGGTTCGCATTCGTCGTGGTCACGGCAACTGCAGCAGGCATCGCAGGAGCGGCCTGAACCGTCGAAGCAACAGCTGCAACAGGGGCTGGAGCTGGAGCTGGAGCTACAGGAGCCGAGGCAACATGGGCAGCGACGGGAGGTTCCTGGGGAGCCGCGGCTGGAGCTGGAGCGGATTCCCTAGCCCTTTTCTTGGACTCTTTGGCAGCAGCTCCGCTGCTGGTTCCTGACGAGCAGGGAGCCATGTTCATTTCCTTGGAGAGATCAGGATCGTCTTTTCGAAATAAGGGGTGATGAAAGGACAGGGTACTCTTGGGCATGGAATGATAGAACAATCTCTTGAACCCCCAGCGATTCATGCTGCGTAGAAAGGAGGACAACTTGGTGCCATGAAAGTACTTGTCCAAGAGATCCTTCTGAACTTTTTCGCAGTCAATGGAGAAGCCTTGTCCATCAGGCTGCCAGAACAAGGAGGCCGGAGCCACGCCATTGTTGAGATACTGCATCAACTTGTCGGGAAGTCGAATCCTTCCGCTCCTGAGGATTACACCAGTGGTTGGCCCGCGTTTCACTGGGGCAGCTTCTGCCTCACGCGGCTGCTCGTCCTGATCTCTGCTCTCAGCGCTATGCGTAGGGGAGGGAGGCGTAATAGTGGCAGCGCCGTTCATGTTTTTTCTCTTCTTGAGGGGAGGTTGGGTTGGAACTTTAGAATGGTGATAATGAGATATACCCAAGAGGAAGGAGAAAGTTAGTGTCACGCAGGTCACGATAAACACACGCACCAACGCGATCGCTCCAAGCGACCGTCTGTGCTGCGGTAGCATCATGGGCCGGATAACTTACCAGAACTAGTATTCATCTCTGAATTTGTGGGTACCTGGCAGCTCTTACTATAATGGCTGCTGCTGTTTGTTTGTTTGTTGTTGTGCTCTGGTGATCTGGTTGTGATGTGTGTGATAACAATCGATTCGATTCGATTCAGCTTTTCAGTGGCTAACCGAGAGAGGGAGAGAAGCCGTGCTGCTAGATTTTTTGCTGCCACGAAGGAAACTAACTGTCTCCAGATAGCCTGCGGAAGACACAATATAATAGCGGCTCGTCGTGCGTTTTGTACTGCATTCTACGGCAAACCATAATGACTACTAATACCAGTAGCAGCCTACAGGCGACCGGTGCCAGAAGCCTCAGGCCCATCGGTCCGCAGCCACATTGTCATTGAAATAATATGTCGAAAGAAAAGAACCGCAAGCTCCTCGGTGTCTATTTTCGCTGAGCCAATCACACTAAACAGACGAGATGTCCATTGATGTCTCCCGTTAAACACAGTAACACAGTTTGAGAGATCCAAGTGCTCAGTAGAGAATGGTGGAAAGTGGAAAGCTAAGGCCCAATCAATACTGCATAGCCTAGATAATTTTGAGTTCTTTTTCCAGGTGGCAATGAGCCTTCCGTTATTTTCGTCTACGCATGCCAAAAGTACAAAAGAGTGACAAATTAATTGGGAATCTTGGGATTCGCTTTGTTAACAAATGATTGTGCATTCGCGAGCTTGCGTCATTTTTCGACGACAGAAGGACCTTCTTCAATCAATACCAGGTATTAGCTGACGGATCCCGAAGGACCCACCTTTGCTCCTTTAGTTAGGCCGTTGCATTGCTGAACTCGCGCTTGCGTGTAAGACAGCAGGGTCGGATTGGCAGCGAAGCGGTCAGCTTTCCTGTGTCGCTGGTACTGGTGGTAGTACAGTCATAGTGGTACGTAATCAAAGCAATGGGTGCAGCTTCGGTGCTGATCTCAAGGCTTCCTCAAATAATTCTATCATTATTTTTTCCCTTCTGAAGTGAAGGCTGGAAATATGGAGTCACACCTCTACACCTCTACAACTAGCCACCTTTTAAAATAGACCCTGAAGTGCAGAAAAAGTGTGCCCTTGCAGTGATTGATCTGGAAAAGTTGAAAGCAGGTGGGTTTGCTTGTTGGGGTCCGGTACATGTAGTATCAGCTTTGCTTGTCAAAGATCTACATGCCTAACGTTGGAGTTCTGACTTTAGCCAACTAGGGATAGCTCTGGAGTTCATGGCGGTGAATTAATGGTAATAGCCAAAGATATGAAGGCATAGGACCTAACAGTATCTGGAATCTGGAATGGGGTCTTTGACGCAACTACGGAGGAATGTTGGTTGCTCCTTGAGGTGAAAAAGCCTGTTGGTAAAGTACTTGGTACAGTCGTACTAGCTAGCTAGTACGGCTGTAGATGCCAGTTGCTAGATGCAGATGTTGCTGCACGGACAGGAGGCCTCAGCGGATTGATTGGCATAGAATCGAATCAATCGAATCGAATTGAGTCAAATCAATCGAATTGAATTGAGTCGAATCATTCGAGTCGAATCGAATCGAATTAAATCGATACCCTGCCTCCGTTCCGATGAAGCCTCCGAATAAAGCAAATGGGTAGAAATGACAATTTGTTCGATCCTGGCATTTCGCCAAATTCGAAGACAATCGCTTGCATCATTGCATCATTGCATCATCGCGAATTCGTGAAGGAACAACCGAGAACACTGGAAATGTTAAATCTGTCAAGAGTGTCAACGGTTTTCTCCAGTCACTGACTTAGGGCTTCTCAATGGCATTTAATCGATCGTGTCTCAACACTTATGGTTCCACCATCGAAAAGAGATATACCCAAAGCTTTCCATATTGAAACAATGATGAGTGATAAATCTTTGCAGTAAGACTTAGTTCTCCCGAAATATGTTCGGTGGTGATGTGGTTTGAGATTTCAGATCCTCACGGGTCGACAGAACAAGTGTGCCGGGGTAAGTGAAGGCCAAAAAATGAGTGAGTGAGCCAAGCTCCTGGGAGATCAAGCACACCAGGTTGCCAGTGCAAGAGCTACGGAGCCAGTATTGAGAACAAATGCACGGTTGCCACATCTCACTTACTTTTTGTCAATGGAACTCTTCTCGTTGATGACGATTGAATGAATAATATCCTTCGTTCATCGCATTAGTAGTCTATCCTATCATCGTCTTGAGAATAGATTACTCTTGTTGTTGCTCGGTTTGCTTTACTTTGCCTTACCTTGGTTGTCGACGAATTTCTTGCTCAGATACAAGTTCTTAGCCGTTGCCTGCTTTTGACGGACCGAAAAGATCGTTTGGCGCTTCTACAGTGATCCTGCATCATTTTCTAATATTTACAGTCAAGTCAAATAAAAACCAACCATGGCATCGTCCTTTCATCCATCGCAATTGCTGCCTCGCAGCATTCGTCCTTCCAACAACATGATTGTAAGCCCCGAATCGGATGTACTACATGCTCCCGTCTCACCTCGCCGCAAGAACATGGGAGAAGCGATCAGCAATGGCGTGATTCGTCGTCTCTCCCGCCGCGGAAGTCTCGAAAAGAAGAACAAGAAGAAGAAAGAGAGCAAAAAGAACAAGAAGAAGAAGAGGAGTTCCTACTATGGCAATGTCGACGTGGTGTTGGCGCAGCCGCCCGAGCAAGCGCCATTGGAATTTTATACACCCAAACCGCGCAAGTCACCCGTCTTGTTGTGGCTGGAACGCGGGTGCCCTCACGATGTCGTGCCCAAAATACTGGCATTTTGCGGCCCCAAGACAACGGCAACCCTCTATCAGTGCAATCGCTTTTGGTATGATCTCATTGGATCCGACAATACATGGAGAGTCATGTGCGAAGAGCTCTACAAGGTACGTCTGTGTTTTCTATTTATTTGGATTTTTGTTGTTTTCTAGTATGAAGGAATGTGCCTGACCGACATGGTTCCTCTTGTTGCGTTTCTGTTTTGTTTTGTTCTTGTGTAGTGGAAAGAAGGAGACGAAGAACCCAGTTGTTCGTGGCGTGAGTTCTACACGCAGAACCCCTGCGTTCCCACGGACTATTCCAATCTCGCGGATGCCGTCGCGGCCATTTGTCCTTCCCGCAATGAAATACTGGACGACGACGACGACATGGATGACGATCTTAGCTACAATGGCAAGCGTCTCGACTTGCCCACTCGTACCATTTGGTTGCGTCCGCAAGAGCATCGATTGCAGGAATCCCTGCTCTTGGACACGCGCCATGCCAATGTGACCTTGGAAACTATGAGGACCACCACCAAAAAGAAACAGCGTCCTCTCGCGTCGCTTCTGTTGCAGACCCGAAGACGCAACAAACCTCTCATCCACATTGCCGCTGGACACGTCACCTTGCGCAAGCTGCGTCTTGGACACTACTGTGGTGGATTCAATCTCTGGAACGGCAACGCTGCTGTTCAAATTCAGCCCATTGTACCGCCGCCGCCAGCCAACAACCTCTTGTTGGAACCCGAACAACCCACCGCCTTGCCTTCCGCCACTCTACAGGAAGTCGAAGTCATTAGTCACTCGGGACGTGGAGTCGTCATTAACGATGGTGGGAATGTCACCATTGCCAAATCGTACATTCACGATTGTGCCGCAACCGGCATTTACGTCGGATCCCATGATTGCGATTTGACACTGGAATATTCCGATCTCATTGCCAATGGACATGGCAATCAATTGGCCGCCAGTGTTCGGGCCAGTGGCGTCAGTCGAGGACATTCCGGATTTTATCTCGAAAATGGGAATGCCAGTCTGCGTCAAGTCAACATTTCCAACAACTCGTCCTGCGGAATTAGTGTCTCGTCCTCGGAATCCAAGCTCTTGTTGGATCATTCTGATGTCGTCGCCAATGGACATGCCAATCAAGTCGAAGTCGCCTTTGGATCACAGCAAATGGGATCCAGCAACAATGTCGCCAAGACGGGATTGGTCAAGGTACGATCGCGTCTCGGGTTGCAATCCTGTTGTGGACGAGGAATGGGCAATGGTAGTAGGAGGAACAACAACAGCAACAACAATAGCAGTAATAGCGAGTTTTCGGAACGAGACTACGGCGAGTCTTCCTCCGATGAAGACGAGGTTGGTGAGGAGGATGACGATTTCGAACACTTGCAAGATAGTTTTGTGGTGGCGGAAGAAAATGTGCGCTTTGGAGAGCTGATTGAAATTTAAAAAAAGAACAGCAAAACTCCAAGGCTCTCATAGCAGGATGCTGATCGCAAGCATTACAGGATGGAACTGAAAAAAGGCCAGAAATGCCACTACTTTCAGAGACATCGATTTTAGATGCGATTTTCATAGTACATAACATTCTCTTGTCTAAAGAGCTACACATTTCGAAACCTCCTCCGATTGTACAGGTAGTACTTGTAGATCTACGATGTCTCTCCTGGTGGACCAAGTTTTTCCACTTGAAAATTGAAAGCCGAAGGTGGAACCACAGCAATAGATCCGGATGGATACCCTGCCTACCCATTAGACTACATGCAGTGCCAATGGCAACTTTCCTTTCTCTTCACAAAATCAGGAAAAGGATACAAGGGTACCGGTACCGGTACGGTAGCTGACAGTGTGCACCTCCATAGTGTCCGCTAAGCTATGATAGCTAGCTAGATAGCTTGCTCAAAGTTGCTAGCTAGTAGAGCTCACTAGCTTGCCGAGATGTCATCTCTGCATTGGGTGGTGAAAGGAGTTGGAGATCAGACCCTCAAGACCAACGCTAATAACCACGCAGGCACAAACGGAAGCATCTCAAAGCTGGCATTCTCTGACTTACCCGGCCACTTTTTCAAGATTTTGGACCAGTCTTGGTTCACAATGGGCTCCGTTTGAGGATCGTTTGTCCTGAAACCTGAAAGGAAGAGACTACACACTAAGTAACATGTCAAATCACTTTGATTCATCAAACAAATCTATTTGAACTGCGTCTGGTGGAATATCGAGCATCTTCTTTGGAAGCCACACAAATCGAATCAGCCGACCGAAACTGCAATTCGAAGCAAAGCTCGTCAATCTTCCTTTTTTCTTTTTGAAATGCCAGCGACCATGATGCATATGCCGGCCACGGAGATCCCAACAGACCCAAATTGCTTCAATGACATCACTGGATTGGTGCACTGCTTCGCTCGACGAGAAAGTGGAAATCGCAACAAGAAAATTGTCTTTTACCTGGAAGGTGAAGAGAAGACTCCTCCACGTCCCATACTCATCGCACAAAAGCAAAAGGATGGAAAGTTCTACATTTTTGCCGTGTCGACAGAAGAGGATCCTCACTTGAACCGCACCATGAAAAAAGAAAAGTGCCACTACATTGGAAAGATACGACGGACTCGCATCAAAAAGTCCAAGCTCGTGGTCAGTTCGCTCTTTGTCGGAACCAAAGAACACAAGGAGCAGGTTGCTGCCACAGTGTATGACTCTTCAACGCTGCGTTCTCAGGTGGTAAATGGCTTTCCGGATCGACTAGTCTATAGTATCGTCAAAACGCCTGAGCAAAGCAGCAGCATGGAGAATCCTCAAGTCGCCGGCCAACAGGAGCAAGCCGCATCAACCAGTTCGCAATATCCTCCAATGGCCTCCTGCCCCCGCATTGACGATGTCATTCGCTATCACTCCGGCGGCATATCTGAGATTGGAGAGCTCTATGACGGTCTCCAAGTCTTTCGGAATCGTCATCGCGCAGAGAGCAAGCATCAGGGGCCCTTTCTGATCCGTTTCCGAGGCCGTGGTGCTAGATCCTCTCAGAGGAACATACAAATTGTCCACCCATCCACAGGTGAACTTGTATTCCAGATGGCTAGATGGAACGAAGACGAGTTCACAGTCGACTTTAAAGGCCCATACACACCATGCCAAGCCTTTGCAATCGCACTGGCACAACTCGAGTCATAGTCAATGAGATGCTCAGCCATTGGGTTGAATCAATCAATCAATTCTCGAGTGGTCTTCTTACCGTGAAGCAATCACGACGCCAGTAGCAATGCCAAACGGTGAAATTGCTTTGAGCAAATGCTCTGGTAAAGGCTTTGACTGCATGAACCAATGCACCACTTGGGAAAAAAAGTCGATCGGTCAAAAGCTACAAGCAGGTTGAGCTATTTAACATATTTAACTAACCACAAGGCCTAACTTCGATAGTGATCCACCATCTGATTTTATGTTACTACATGCAGAACCCTCGAAGCTTCATTTGCGCAGAGGGCATTTGCAATATCTCATGCCGGTATCGAGGGCCTAATAGTCGTCCCCGCGGCTCAGAATCTCTTTGCCAGTGGGCTTCAAGATGAGAGTGTGCTCATACTGAGCAGTGTAGCTACCTGGCACGTCAAGCAATGGCGGACAAGGCTGAAGAATACCCTGTTGATGCACGAGCGAGGAACAAAAGATCAAAGGCAAGGTGAGATTGGTACCATTCAACACTCACACTCTGTGCACATTCTCATTTTCGTACTACGTCACAGAGGTTCTTCAAAGCTCCAACATATTTAGTCTGCTTTCCATTGTCGCCATGAACATGAAAGGATCCACCATCCTCTCGTTCTAACCAACGGCGACAAAATGCCAAGGTTCCAAATGTACGATTGATATGCGACAACAATCGACGAGAGCTTTGCATCCTCAATGGGACATGACCAGCGTCAAAGGCTTTCATGTAGTGGCTGCATTCCATGCCGTCCACGACATAGCCACGGCCTGTCGATCCAAACGTTTCAATGGCATAGACGTCGCCCTCTTCCATTACAGCTGATTCATCGACTCCGTCCTTGATGCACGGAATGTAGTGCTTGCCGTGGATGCGGTATTGCTCGATGGAATGTCCATTGAGGTTTCGGATGGCTTTGACTGGATGGGTTTTGCCATGAATTTCCACCTCGTAACTTTCCATGGTCTCCTGGATGGCTTCTCCAATGTCGCAAATCCGAGCGTCAACACCCGCATGGCTCAACCCCATGTTGGTTGCCTCTTTGACAGCCATGAGGAGATTATCGTACATCGGGTTGAAGGCAACAGTCCAAGCACTGTCAATGATGCGACCATTAATCTGCACACCAAAATCGAGCTTCATGACATCGTCATACTGCAAAACGACCGGATCGTCTCCGGGGTTGGGAGTGTAATGAGCTGCAACATGGTTGATGGAGCAACCCGTGGGAAAGGCGATGCCGCGTTCCAACCACCCACGTTCTTGGACCAATTCACGGGTCTTGTTTTCCAACTGGTTGCAAAGATCCGACAGTTCGACTCCAGGTCGAATGAGGTGTGTTTGCACAAAACCACGTACTTGGCGGTGCACTTCGGCTGCCTGACGAAAGGTATTCACCACATCTTCTTGAAGACGCTCACGTGCTCGGATTTCGGCTGGGGAATCCCCAAAGGACGCTCTGTTCTCGTAAGGGAAGACTTCCCCTTCGGGAGCAACAGTGACGGGAACGGTTGGAGGGTCGGTTTGCTCATCGTATTTCAAGTAAATGTCTGTAAAGCACTCTGGGTTGACGCCTCGAAAAGTTGGCGTTTTGGACGGGGCGGAAGAAGAGGATGCCTTCTTTTTCTTCTTTTTCTTCTTGCGCTTTGGCTTGGGATTGGACAGCAGCCCAGTGTCCACAAGAGGTCCCTCCACTTCCTCGTCTTCGTTGCAGACCATTGCTGAAGATACTAATGCGTACCGGTAGGTCAGTTGTGGATCAACGCAAGCAACTGCTGCTGTCTTCGACTGTCACCTCTGTCAAGAACCCAAGAGTGGTTCAGATTTTAGATCTGAGATCCTTGCCTTTCCAAGTGACGCGATGGTCGAACTGCAGAGCTGCAGCCAGGAAGATCCTTCCGTCAAACCCGCGGCAAAGTGATCCACGGAAATCCTCACTTGAAAGCCAGCAGCGATGGCAATTAGAGCTTGAATCCAGCAGAGAGCAAGGATCCAAGCATGCAAGCTCTGGGCTTCTCCTCGGAAAGCTTGGCAATGGCACCCCATTCACAAGAGTATCACCAACCTGCCTGACTGGAGGAGGCAGCAAAAACTATGTGCTTTGGCCACATTCGGCTATGCCTTTGAGGGACCCAACTGGTCGGGAGCTATCATATACATGTATCAAGAACAACTGGATGGTGGCTGCATCCTAGAAAATGAGGAGTGTGTGTGGCTTTGCAGTGAATTTGGAAACTTTGACACTCATGGGTACAGTACATAGAACGGCAGCTTGCATCATGTACCTATGCAAATGCCTTGTCAGCCCTTGCGGATTGCTGACCCAGAGCACATTGGGGATTTTTTGAGACGCATTTCGTCCCACTTTTCCTGTCCCCTTGCCCTTCCAGTTTGAATTGCTCCCACAATTGTCGGCGTTCATAGCTGCTCAGTGATGCACTTTCCGTGTCGGCGCCAACCAAAGCAAGAAACCTGAACTGCAGCAACAAACAACGGAAGCTAAGTGCAAAGGATACACGTTCTACTTCTTTTAAAATTAGTTCACCGCTCAGACAGAGCCATTTGCAATTACCAAAGATTCTACCTTCACTCAAGCCTCCTGCAATACCGAATTGCGTTGTTTAACCCATCCATGAGGGCGTGCGGAAGCCCATTCCTGGGTACTTGGCGGCACCTCCGAGAACGGCTTCAATGCGCAACAATTGGTTGTACTTGGCAGTACGTTCACCACGGCAAGGAGCACCAGTCTTGATTTGTCCAGTGCAAAGACCGACGGCCAAGTCGGCAATGTAGCTATCCTCGGTTTCTCCAGACCTGTGGGATGTCATGACTCCCCATCCGTTCTGTTTGGAAAGCTTGACGGCGTCAATGGATTCGCTAATGCTTCCAATCTGGTTGACCTTCAACAACAAGCAGTTGGCAGACTTTTCCTCAATGGCTTGTTGAATCTTGATAGGGTTGGTGACGGTCAAATCATCTCCGACAATCTGGACATCCTTTCCGACAGCAGCAACAATCTTGGACCAGTTTTCCCAGTCGTCTTGGTCAAAGGGATCCTCAATGGTAACAATGGGGTACTTGTCGATAATGCTCTTGTAGAAAGCAATCATTTCGTCACCGCTCAAGGTCATGGAGGTGTCCTTATCGGCTCCAGTGGTCTTGAAATCCAAATCGTAGGCATCCTTTCCGGCGACCTTGAATTCGGAACTGGCGACATCCAAACCAACGGTGATCTTGTCCAAGTGTCCGGCTTTTTCACTGGCCTCCATCAACATGTCCAATCCAGATTCGACATCACAGGGAGGAGCGAAACCACCCTCGTCTCCAATCAAAGTGGCATCACCACCGAACTTCTTCTTGATGACCTGCTTCAAGTTGTGGAAGACTTCGCAACCAATGGCCATGGATTCGCTGTGAAACGAGGAAGAATAATTTTTTTAAAGGAAACCATTAGACAACCCGTATCGTTGTAATAAAAAAGATCCACTCCTCTACCTCGTGAGAAAAATTTGATAAACGCACCTGAAAGTTTCAGCTCCAGTGGGGATGATGAAGAATTCCTGGAATGCCAATTTGTTTCCAGCGTGTTCTCCGCCATTGATCACATTGAAGCAAGGAACGGGAAGAACATCGGGGTTGGGGTTACCAGCAAGGTTGGCGTAGTGCTTCCAGAGAGGAACACCGGCGGCAGAAGCACCGGCCTTGGAGGCAGCGAGAGAGACTGCAAAAAATGGCAATGAATGAAATGGAATGGTTAGATAATATTCAACAAAGAAGCCGTCGATCAGGACAGGAAAAAGGATACCACAGATAATGCAACAGACAATGGCAATAACTCAAAAGATACCCATTGAAAGAGCACTTGCTAGCATCCCCAAAACACAGAAAACAAAACATTCTTCAATTCGGAGGATAAACTAACTTACTTCCAAGAATGGCGTTGGCACCGACATTGTTCTTGTTGGGGGTGCCATCAGCGGCGATCATGGCATCATCGATGGCCCTTTGGTCGGCAGCATCCATACCCATGACAGTGTCCTTGAGGACAGTGTTCACATTTTCCACAGCCTGGAGAACACCCTTTCCCATGTAACGAGAACCACCATCACGCAATTCGCAGGCTTCGTAGGCTCCGGTGGAAGCTCCAGAAGGGACACTGGCGGTAAAGGTTCCTTGAGAAGTAGTAATGTCCACCTCGACAGTGGGATTTCCACGAGAATCAATAATCTCTCGGCCCTGAACACCAGTGATGGCGCTCATGAAGCGCTTGTTGGAGGCAGAAGCCACAGAGCGACGGATAGTGTTGGACAACATGGTGTTGATTGGATATAATAAGATTCACACAAAATTGATGGGTCAAAATCTATGACCAGAGGAACCGATTTGATTTGAGAAGCCAAGCAATACAAGTGGTTTGTTGGATACCGGTATCTTTCCGAGCAACGATCGAAAAGGATGTGGCCATCCAAAGTCCAAGTCACAGGGTATCTTTGGCCAATTAAAAGTTCGAAGAAAAGTTCGGAAGTTTTGGGTTACGAGAATACAAGGATTTTATTGGATGGCCATAACCGCGTCTCAAAAGCAATCGTGGGGACCACATACGTAGGCAGCGATACTACAAGCCAGTACGGGTAGACGGTAGATTTATTTGACGAGATGACGACATGACAACGTACCACCCGGTAGCTTGCAAGGCTGCAATTTCCAGAGTCGAGTCCTATCGTGTTAGTTTTGGTTGTCGTCCTTGTTCCGGTCCGTGATGGCTGCCAATGCTTGATGTCATCGTGATGGATTCATCCTATCGTGATGGATTGACAAGTCAAAGATTACGTCGTTGTCCAGCCCGGACAAACTGAAAAGGCGTCGTAGTCCAGTCCAGACAACTAGATTGGAGACGGGTATGGGGTCGTTGTTTCCGTGTTATCCCACCAGGTGGAACTTTGAGGCAGCCAGATGATGAAAGGGTCGTTTCCACTGGCTGACCTCACCTTTCCAGTGCAATTACGTAGTACCATGTGGGAGTGACTGACAGCTACGATGCATAAGGCACGTTGGCCGCTGAAGGAGCTAGCTAGATTAGGGCTAGCTAGCTAGCAGTAGCAACGTTCTCCAGCCCACATGGAATCCACGTGGCTGGTGTCGAAGTACAGTTCATTTAGATTAGACACACAGCTCCTAGACTTTTCGTCTGCAAGGAGGTGGAACTCTTGCCTTCGATGACATAGCCTCGTTTTGCAGTGCATTTGACCTCCTTCTCCTTGGACTTCTTCACTTCTTTAGCAGCTTAACTAGCTAAATATTTAGCCAGTAGAGCTGTTTGAGCACTTCAGAATCTTCGAATCATGAGGGATCAGGACTCATCGCGCGATCTTTTGCGCAGCGAAAACCTGCCTCCAATCGATCTCGATCTCAGACATCAAACCACAACAGGCAACAGCAAACCCTTGTTCACTCCGCATCCTCACTTGTCTTGTTTGGGCAAACCACACCTCCCACCTTCCCGAGACGATCTTCCCAACGCTCTTTCGTTCGCACATTGTTAGAAAGAATCAGATTTTGTTTTTTTAATTGAAAACAATATGAGTGACGATGAAGACCCAGTTGGCGCAGACTCAGGATTCGATAATTCCGGTGGTGTGTTTGACGGCAATGATGAAGAGCCGCAAACAGCTGATGCCAGTACAGCAGGTGGTGATGATTGATGACAATGACATGCAAGAGGATGAAGATGCATTAGATGTGACGGGGGAACAAAACGAGGGACCTAGTGGAGTGGCGGGCATAGGAACAGGCGACGATGGTGGCCCCGCCGCCGCGGCTTCGGAACGGATCACAACGCGGTATTTGACCAAGTACGAGCGAGCACGAGTGTTGGGGACTCGGGCCCTGCAAATCAGCATGAATGCCCCTGTCATGGTCGATCTGGATGGAGAAACAGATCCCCTTCGAATTGCCGAAAAAGAACTGAGAGAACGAAAAATTCCCATCATTATTCGACGGTATCTACCCGATGGATCCCACGAAGATTGGAGTATCGATGAACTCATCGTGGATTAAATAATATTTTCCTCACAGCAACAATTCACTTACGGTACCTTATGCTTGGGCGACGAATGAAACGAGTGACTCAGTCCAGGGGTTGAATGGGCATTGGATACTGTTCGTCTCCGTGGTTGTAACGATGTTGAAGACGGTACAAACACCGTGTCCAAACAAACAAAAATTCGATCCGTGGTCGCTGTCATGATTATCTGTTTGGGCTAGTCAAAGAGAGTTGTGGGGAATGAGATGTTGTGTTGTGCTGTGCTCTTTCTACGTGGCCTATCCTGTTTTGATCTGATAAGATGATCATTCAGAACATATGCTTGAGAAATTTGACGAAGGAATGTTGTTCAACTACTAGCCAGCTTAATTTTAAAGGCGAGCATCGATTTTATCGTTGTTTCTTCGTCCAGATTTGATCACAGCTGTGGCTTCCTGCTTTTTGTAGCTCTTCGTGTGCATATGGTATCCTACCGTGTGAATCGAATCCCAACGAAAGAAGGTACAAGTACCCTTTGTTCAGTTGTTCGCTTGATCCATTGAAAGAAGTTCTTGAGTTTCCGGGATACATTCATATCTGGGACACTCCCAACAGAGCTGCTTGCATTGACCAACTTGATTGGTCTGCGCGAGTTGCCAATACTTCCTTGTTTGGCAAGATTCTAGATGGTCTGTGCAACATCATGTACAGGGACAAAAAAAAATACCAGACAGCCACTCTACCGGTACAAGTCATGATTGCTGCAAAAGACAGACCAACGTCTCTGTCTGCCACAGGACCAGATTATGCGGGTGCAGCTGTGCTCCATGTTGATTGGTGTCTGTGGACATGCTTGGTGACAACGGCATGGTACACAAGGCAGCTTGCGCCGATGCGGTGCTAACAGTTTGGGGGAAAGGGCAGCGCTGCATTCGACACGGGGGTGGCAGGAAGTTGCCCTTTTTGCAAGGACTTTTGAAAATGTCGCCGTCAAGGCCACGAGCAGGAACACGATCCGGTGTTTTCAAAAGACAGATACTGGTAGCTTGCGAGAGCACGGGTCCGGGGAGACCATGCGGTACCGGTATGCCACGAGATGCGACTTTACAGAGCAGCTACCTGGTAGCAACCGGTAGCAAGCAACTACGGTACCGGTATTCGAGAATGTGCAGGGCACAACTCTACACGTTGCCAATAGATCCACGAAACTAGTAGTGGCCACCTCTAGCTCCTGTGCCAGAAATGTGCAATTGCTTGTTCACTTGTGCTAAAGTTATTCTACTACATAAACAAGGAGCCCCACGATGATTCAACTCTGAGCGCCCCGTCCTGCCAACACACCTGGGTACAAATGGTCGATTGGTCTCTCGTTCGGGCGTGTCGCTCTCTGTCAAAACATCCGCGTCGCCTAACGCAAACAAAGGAGCGCCACAATGCCGGTCCAAATCATCACAATCGTGGAGGAGGAAAGGACAGAGCAGCCACTTTCAGCTCCCGCGACGAATTCTTCTTCCTCGTCTCCGTAGCTAATGTAGACCTTGGCCGTGAAACCGGTGGAGGTCTCGGGGAGCGTTTGGTCTTCAGTTCTTTGTTGGCGGACGCGGCGGCGGGTGCCATTTCCGCTCTCGTCTTCCCCGAGCTCCAGAATGGCAACACCCGACACTTCCAAATTTCTCAGTGGGTCTGTGACAAAGAACACGGTTGGCAATTGGATTTCGACACGACACTCTCCATCGGTGCATGTGGTGAGCGTGAGAAAGGTGTCTTCGGAATTGTAAATCAAAGTGACCATGACGGATCCTCCTTGCTGCTTCATTACAAGTTCTTCAATGTGGCTGACGGAAACGTATCCGGGCACGTCGGCGGCGGTGGAGATACACAGGGAGACGGTCGATCCTTGGGTGAAATTGGTGGTGGGTTCAACATCTGACCCATCACTGGAGCACAATCGAGCTTGGACGTTGTAATTGTAGTCTACGTTGGTCCAAACGTCGTGGCTGTCGAGCTGGGTGCGAATGCCTTGAATTGCAAAGGACGCCTCCAAGTTGACCGACAAGGCAACTGCCGTTTGGAGAAAACTCATGGTGGCCACATGCTGCTCCGTATTTGGATGTGTGAGACAGTACTCCACGAGGAGGCAGAAGCCAATAATACCTGTACCAGAGGATCCAGAGGGCGACGTCCAGAACGGAGACGTGGCGAGTTCCGATTCATCAATGGCCACCGTCACAAAAAGCTCCATGGCGGCGCTGTCGTCAAACGAAATGGCCAAAGCTCTTTCGTCGGCAGGGACTGTACTGGTGCAATCGGCCGCAAGCAACGTCGTCTTGAATTGCTTGTAGACGGGTCGTGAGTCTCCGACGGTAAAGTTGAAGCGAATGTTGTTCTCGTTCGTCGCGTTGCCCCTTTGGACGGAAACGAGAGGAGCACCAGCCGCGAGGCCCCAATCAAAGTCGTTGGGCTGAACCGTCACTTCAATCTCATTGAAACTTACTTGTTGAGACACATTGGAGCGTCCTGCTTGATGGCGAATGTAGCGCGCGTGCACCGGAGTGTCAAGAGCGATTTGGTTTCCTTGCGAAGTTTCGAGAGGACCGTAGCCAGTCGGCCCCGTCTCAAAGACTGTCACGGACGAATCGACAAATCCGTCGGTGGAGAGTTCGATCTTTTGAGCGCAGTGTCGACGAGGAGCTCCTTGCCAGTTGTGCCACACTGTAATGTCGGAGACGCGGTAGATCGCTCCCATGTCAATGACAAACGAGAGATCCACGTCGTAGGCACACACCGCCTGCGCACCGGCGAGAGTGTCGCTTTGGAGCGCGACGACGCCGTCCACCAACGAAGCAGAAGAACCATTGAGTCCGTTGCCAAGATAGATGGCAGCTTGTGTGAGATTGAGAGGCACCTTGCTGGAGAGTTGGACGCCGCCTTGGAGAGATCGCGACATGGCGTCACCGCGAAGTGTCAACGGCCGATAGACAGCACCCGACGAGGAGACTCGAAGAGCACGCGATTCCGTCGTCTCGGCCGAGGCAGCAGCGAGCAAAACACAGAGGATTGAAAGAAGAGACATCGTCATGGTGGTGATTGATTGGTTTGTATTCGAAAGCGTTTCTTTTGACAAAAGACGAGAGGGAAGCGAGAAAGTGAATTTGTGAGAAAAATGAAAGAAGGAAGAGGAGCGAGATTTGAAACGAAACGGAAGGAAGGCGCAACCGCACCTGAACCCTAAAAACACCCAAAATGTAAAAATGAGCATTTGCTTCATTCAGCCATTTAGCCATTTTCGACAAACGAAAATCTTCCTCGTCATCCGTTGTGCTTTGTGCCTCTTCATTCATCACTTGTCACCGTCACTGTGAAGAGCTCCCCAAAAAGAGACTTTGGCAAAGCATTCTGCCATGGAAAAGATGATGAGAAATCGAAGCAATGGCTTTAACAGCAACAGCAATGGAAGTGGCAGTGTCAAAGCCAGATTGACTACTAGTAGTGGCGGGCAAAGCTCAGTAGAAGCCACAGACCCATGTTGTTGCCAATGACAGAAAATACCAAGAATGGAGACAACAGCAAACTCCACAACAAGAGGTCTACAGCCCGGATTATGAAAAGCTTGGATTCCACCCATCGGGCTCTGAATACCATGGCTATTCTGGCATTTCTGCTACTTTTGTTCCTTTTTTATTGGTACTGGACAAGCGACGAGTTTGTGACACCCGCCAAGATTGCCGAGTGGTCTTCCCACAAGACCATTGTCATTACGGGTGCCAACTCGGTGGTTTCCTTTGGAGTGCTCGTACACTTGCTACGAGCCAATACAGCCGAACACATCATTATGGCTTGTCGCAGCGACACGAAATGCCAAGCTACACTCGCACAAGTCCAGCAACACTTGGGCGTCACTGAAACTACGACGTCTAAAGTGAAGGTGTCCTTGGTATCCTTGGATTTGACATCCCGAGCATCCATTGAACAATGTGCCAAGTCGATTATTGCGACAGCAGCTACAACTCAACAACAACAATCATCAATATCAAAATTATCCAAAAATATGATTCTCGTGTGGAATGCCAATGACAGTGTACACGATCCCATTATGGTCAATGGAATGGGACATTTGTATTTGACACATTTGCTATATCCACAACTGCAACGCGTCGTCGTGGCGGCCAGTATCGTGGGTGGCGTCCCTTGGGATGTCCTCCAACCATGGGAGCAATCTTCGTATCCCAGTTGGTTCCAATTACCCGCGCAATATGGAACATCCAAGCGCACCATGCTCTTTTTAGCCCAGCAATTATTGTTGCTGCAACAATCACAATCATCACAACCACAACTCCAAGTCGTTGCCACTCAGGCCGGATTGACCTGTGATGAAACCGAAGCATGTCATGCCATTAGCATGACACCCATCGAAGGGGCTCATTCGCATTTACGAGCCATGCTGGACCCAGACTTGCAACCAGGAGCCTACCTCGGACATCGATGGATTTTGTGGGGGAAAACAATCATTGCTGGAACATTGGAATCCTCGTGGTATCACATGCATTTGTCTGGCGAAACTCGACAACAACTATGGGCTTGGAGTTTGAAAGAATTGGGCATCCAAGAGTTTGGCAATAATCCTTCTGCTTCGACAACAACAAAGTAGCAGATAATGGCATTTGCCGTATTTTGTTTGTTTCGTCATCAATCACCATTACGTTTCTTCTGTCTAGTCTACCGACACTGGTGCCGGTACGCACGGTAGGGAAGAGCGGTCAAGAAACCATTTAAAACTCTTGTTGAATGAGAAACCATACTTTTGACTGGGATTCTTCCATTTTGGTCTGGACAAAGAGTCAAGATGACTAGCTAGAACCGTTCTCTCAGGCTAGAGTAGTGACCGGAAGAATGGATTGGCAACGGAAGAGAGAGCTATCAAAAGTGGAAAAGGCCATTGACATTGTTTTGATAACCTGTAGTTGTCAAGCCATGCATCAATATATGGTTGCTTCCGCACCGGTATGAAAATGCAAGTTTACAATAGATACTATCTATTTGATGGTAGTAGCTGGCTTTGGTCCTGACTGAGTCGCTGTTGCTGATTGGCTTTGAACATGGCATGGCTGACCCTGGGCATCACTCATGACGGCTGAACTTTTCTTGCTTGTTTTCCGTGGACTTGCGCATCTGTTAGCTAGGCGGATTGTGGAAGAGCGTCTTTGGGCTTTCGAACAACTTTGCTGAGAACCCGCGCCCCGAAGAGAGTCAGCCGGGTACCCTGGAACAGGAAAAGCACCTTCCAGATGTCTTGAAAGGAACTACAGGTAAATCCCAAGAGAGTAAAATGCATGATCATGGTGACTGTGTATGAGGAAATCATGTTGGCAAAGTCCCGAGTGGCTGTAAGGGTTCCTTCTGTGAGCATTATGAATGGATGCAATAACAGCGAGAGTGACAAAAGCTTTGTGTGCTTGGCAATGGTCGTCACCACGAGCTTGTCATTGGTGAGGTAGCTTCCAAGATTGGAAAGTACCCAACTGCTGGACTGTGAAATGAAGAGACCCACGCAGGTGGAGAAGACAAAGAATCGCTTGAGCATTTTGCGTAAATCCTTGGCAATGGGCTTGGGGTAGAGTGCCTTGGGCAAGAAAGACTGTGTAGCCTGACTCAGGGAGTCTCCAAAGCATGTGAAAAAGAAGAAAACTGAAAAAGAGACGGTCACCGCATCAAACAACAACATACATTAGTATCACAAAAATGCCTCGCACATACATGATGCCGGTCTTCTCACCTCTCATCATGATACTGTGAGCAGCTAGATTGACGACTCCAAAGTCAGTGGCCCGAATGGACATGGCACTGTAGCAGGCGATCTTTCCCAACATGACAAAGAACATGGGACCAGACAGTTTGAGCAACTCAATAAAAGATGCTCGATCTGGCAGTGACAGGAATGGAATTTCTTCTCCGTCCTTCGTCTTTTTGGATTTTGGCACAATCTCTTCCAGTTCAGCATACTCTTTTTCCAAGGCGCCATTGACGGATACATTCAACGTGGGAGAACCCTCGACAACGGCGGAAATTCCAGCATTCCCATTCATCATGGATGCTGCGTCACCATTTGTCGTCTCCCCCAATTCCATTTGTCGCCACATTTCTTTGCGCTTTTTGACTCTTCGTAACATGATGGTTGTCGAGGCTACCGTGGCCAGTGCCGTCGCCACTGCCGCACCTTGCATTCCCCACACTGACAGCGCGACGTCTCCGACAATGTTAATTATCGACGCAGATAAGACGGCCAATGCCGGTGTTTTGGTGTCGACATTGGCCAAGCAATTGGTTTCGGCAACAAACCCCATAATGGCGAGGGGTGCCACGGAAGCTCGTATCCAGCAATACCGTGCCGCCAAGCCCACTAGCTCGGGACTCTGAGATGTCCCAATCATGGTTTTCAGTAGGGGATACCCAAACCCCCAAATGGTGGCTGTAATCAGCAATCCCAAGACTCCTGCCACTCCTAGAATTTGCGATGTGACTTGTTGCAATTTTCGATAATCCTTGAGTGCCAAGTACTTGGCTACTTCCGTGGTGGTGGCCATGGCCAAAAAGTAGGTCAAGTATTGCAAGGAATCAATCAATGTCGTCGCCGGACCCAAGGCGGCCACCTGCACGACGGCATTGCGTTGGGTCAGGCCGACTACGGTAGTGTCGACCAAGCTCAGAAGCGGTTCCGAGATCCAAATCAAAATGGTGGTGGCCGTAAAGACAAACAATTCTCGGTAGGAGGGTAAATTATTGCCAGACTGGGTGCCACCAGCAGCAATGCTGGAAGCATCGTCCGTCGTCAGCGGGATTGCGTCCACATTATTATTTTCAGATGGAGTAGAGAGCGGGGAAGAGGTGTCTTCCTCATCATTGGTCTTCTCCCACAGTCGATTATTTATCCGCCTTGGAAAGGGAGCGCTTTCTTGACGTGGATGTACTATTGCTCGCGATACCGATAATGAGTGGGGCGCGGAAAAGGCTTTGACACTTGACGATTGCAGGACACCTGCTACCAAGGTCAGCGAAAGTACTGCTATTGACCTTTTCGGCATCTTGAAGCACATGCTTTGCCTTCTTCCTCAGATGACCGGCTAGTAGCTAATAGTTGTCTCTGGCACTTAATTGCTGGCGGAGAGCTTTGATCCCTTCGGTTGAGTTGTTGATTTGGTGTTGTTCTTTCCTGTTCGACTCCCACGCAAAAACGTCAGAAGGAAGGAAACAAATGACATCACCTTGCAAGTTGAAGTACCTGAGCCCTATCTACCTTGTATGCTTAAAATAAAACATGTTCGTGTGGGACTCAAAGAACTTCCGAAACAGGCAAGAGTGAACCTTCCGTGACCGAACCGAACGAACTCAACCCACAACAACCTCTTTGTGCTCACAATTCAACGAGAAACAACACAACCACAACAACCACACCAAAACAATCACAAAACAATCACAAATATATCAACCATGCCAGCCCAACATCAACAACAAATCAACAACCAAACTGAAAATTATAACAACCATTATCAAGTAATGGAATACACCATCAAAAAGCCCATTCCCCACTCCTATGCGGGCATTAGTTTTCGCAAAGACGGCAAAGGAAAACTGTACATCAGTAGCCTCCACCAAGATGGACTCTTCTTTCGCAAAACCAACATCATGACAGGTTTCCATGTCCTCAAGGTCAATGGAGTCAGAGTAGAAAACATGCATCCACAACATGTCACTGCCATTATTCGAAATGCCAGAGGAACGGTCACCATTGTGGTAGCAGAGCCAAGTCAACAAGATGATGCTGCAAAGGAAACAACACAGTCACACCACAGACAACAGCAACAGCCAAAGAAACAACCACAGCAAGACAAGAAGGGAACAATAAGAAATATCCCAGTCATTGGGGGCCTACAAAGGATCCTCATGATGCCCAAAGCAGCATAGAAGCTGTACAGTAAACTTAGACTTTCTTTTCTACTTCCTACTTTTGCTTTGGATACATCATTATTAGTCTAGATGTTCATAAACGTTATCAATATGACTCTTCTTATAGCTTCAACACTTCTTCATTCTGCTACTGTAGCCACCGGCACTGTGGCTGTGGCGTATGGTACCTGGTATTGCTGTCCCTTCATAACGTAAGGAGTGGGCGGGACTTGACTCAAAGAACAGGGACTCGAATCAACTCGACTCTTCCGCAAGTCGGGATTGAACCTTCCTTCGGAGAAAAGGAGAAAAACGAAATCAGTCCTTCCCCAGGAAGAGAACTTCAGAAGTGTAGTTGAGGTAAATATACTCTGGGGTTAAAGGAGTACTTTACAGTACTCTCAATGCGTTATGCAGAAAGCTGTTACCACGTCTACCTGAATTTCAAAGGAAAAAATGAACCTTCCGTGGAACAAGCCAACGGACTCACTTACTGCTTTCTTGCCCAGTGACAACCTCTTCCTTGAGCTCACAATTTCATGAGAACACCAAAAACACAACACACACATCAAACAAAATAAACCAACCACACCAGCCCAACATCAACAAATCAACTACCAAACTGAAAACAGCAAACATGGAATACACAATCAAAAAGCCCATTCCCCACTCCTCTGCGGGCATTAGTTTTCAACAAGACAACAAAAAGAAACTGTGCGTCAGTGGACTCGACCAAGATGGACTCTTCTTCCGCAAGACCGACATCGTGACAGGTATCCATGTCCTCAAGGTTAATGGAATCAGAGTAGAAAACATGCATCCAAAACGTGCCACTGTCATTATTCGAAATGCCAGAGGAACAGTCACTGTGGTGGCAGCAGAGCCTAGTCAACAGGAGTGTGATGATGCTGCAGTGGAAACAACGCAGCCACACCACAGACAGCAACGGCAAAAGCAACCAAAGAAAACTGCCGAGCAAGAAAACAAGGGAACAATAAGAAATTTCCCAGTTGTTGGGGCTCTACTAAGGATCCTCAAGATGCCCAAAGCAGCGTAGAATCGAATCCATACATACAGTAAACTTAGACTTGCTTATCTACTAGTACTTCCTACTTTTCCTTTTGATATATCAGGATTGGTCTAGTTGTTTGTAAACATTATCAAGATGACTCTCTTCGCGGAAGCTCCTGAATGAAGCTGTGGATGGTTTGTTGCTGTTTGTAATGTCGGCCAGATTGGCAGATACTGGTACCGTACTGGTACCGGTACACTTCGCGAAGCGCAGTATTGATTGATTATACCGTTTGTTCATTGTCGTGTCATCTTTGTTGCCAGAGGTAGTGCTGCATCAGCACCTGCCCCTAGCTAGCTAGACTGATTGTAAGACTTGGGCTTCTTGTTGGTTTCGTTTATGCACACAAGCATTCTTTCACATTCATTGCAAAAGCTTCCTTCTCGCCCATAAAGTACCGCCAAGTTCACGTCGGCCGGCTAAACTGTGCATGCTGCTGTTGCTGCTGCTATTATATAGTGCCACGACGTCTGTGGTTGTCCATCAACAAGGTAAATTTGGACATGTGATGAACAAAGTTTCGCTGTGCCATGGGCGTTCGAGTGATGATGGACCGTCCATAATCATTCTTGGGATGTGAATGCGCCGCCAATTGTTGCTGCTGCTCCATCATGAGAAGGGCATGAATGTTGTTCTTTTGCAATCGTTTCGGTGGCCGTTCCAGTTCCAACTGATATCCATTGGCCACCACATCGGAACACTCGAGTGACAAGAGGGTATCATGCACCGAAACTCCAATGGAGGAGTTTCCCACAATGCCACAATTCAATACCCTAGCACCGGTCCCAAACTCCAAATGCACCCCCGCGTGTCCATTGGCCATGATGTCGGATTGTTGCACCAGCACATCCGATTGGGGAGCATCGACGTAGAGTCCGGTGGCGGCACAATCATGAATGTAGCAATCGTGAATACGGACATTTCCACCACGATTGTTCATGATCCCTTGTCCAGAGTGAGAGGTGATTTCCACGCTTTGCAAGGAGAGGGATGGTAGATGGTCCACACTAAAACTTGTTGCTGCTGGAAGAAAATCTTTTGTCGTCCTAAAGTGGCAACGCAAAGATGACGGCTCGATGTGAATGGCAGCATTGCCATCGAGAAACTCATTTCCATAACATGAGTGCTCCAGTTTGATATTCTTGAGCAGCAGTGTTCCTTGCTGCACATGAAACATGGGAAGATTCTGTCGGGTGTTCTCCATTGCAAGAGTAGCGACTGTTTTTTGGCCACCGCAGTATGGCATGGAAGCGTGATGAAATTTGGGGATACCTTGGGAGGGTTCTTCGTGCAAAGGCACCTGCAATGTTTCAATGGTAAGGCTACCGGAGTTATTCACCACGATACCATTATCCACCCGATGAATGCCTGGTTGTACCAGAATTCGAATAGCTGGTGCCTGTTGAGATGCCTCCAGTGCCTCTTGAAGGGTAGCAAACTCCGAAGGAACACAGAGGTTTGTCTGGTAGTGCTCACGCCAAGATTTGGGTTCCGGGTCGCCTGGTTGCCACTACAACGAAGAGACGTCAGAAGAAATATTATAGAAGAAACAGGCGAGCCACGAGGCAACTGTTAATGAAACAAATAGGGTTCTCACAGATAGCATTTCGTTTTGATAGTCTCACCTTGTGCAGATCATGACACAATACATGCCAGACCGTCTCGGATTGCATCATCTGCTTCCAGGGCTGCGAGTCGATCTTGACGAAGGAAGATACCTCTCGAGGACCAGCAAATGCTAACACTCTGGCAAACAGTTCCTCTGGGCATTCCTGCTCCAGCCAACGAACAGCGGCGCGAAGGCGCTGCTGATCAGATGACGATGACAGTGACCTCATTTTGACTTTCGTTGCTCGTTTGTTCCTCGACCTCCGAAGAATCGAATCAAATATTATGATACCACTTCCTCCAAACTCTTCACTATAAAAAAAATTGAAGCTCTTTTGGACTGCTGCTGCTTGCGCTTCTGTCGCCCAGCTAGCTACTGGCTACGGTAGTCGAGCTGTAGTAGACTGCTGAGACGCTTGGACGCAAATACGAACAACAAAAATGCAGCTTTCGAGAAGCTCGAACTTGAAAGGGGCGACAGAACTGCGACAGTCGGCTCAAAGCTCAAAGTGCCCTCAAGCTGGTGGTGTCAGCGCCAATAACGGAGGATCCAACACAGGGCAGTGGGACCGTTATCTCACCGCCTCTCACCGGAGATGTCTTCTTGAAGAAGCAGGGCTTTATGACTTTCTGACTACGCTGACTTACTTATCCTAACAGGAGCCAAGCTCTGACGTCCGCTTAGGCGACTTAAATCCAATTCTGATTTGAATGAACTCTCTCAAACAAAAGAATTCTAAATTGCCCCCAAAGAATTAGAGGAATTCAGCAAGGTAGCAAGTTTCGCAACCTGTGAACCGAATTATTAATATTCTTCACGTTTTTCCCCCGAGCAACAGCCCAAAGAATCCATGGTGCCTGTAGCCGTGCCTGAACAGCTCTCAGGCTATAGATAATACGGAACAGGAGTGGATCCAACATTAGTCTTGCAGAACACCAGTATCAAAGGGGTGTTGCCTATTTCAATTGTACATGGGGTCGAGGAGGAGTACTGTCACCAGCAGCTACCGTAAGGACTCCAAGTAGCTAGCAGACATGCCCATGGGCACCATTAGAAGGCCATGATTGGGCGTACCAATCATCACGATGAACTCGAAAAACAAGTGAAACAGTCTTGGAGGTACAGGTAACGGCAGCCAGCTAAAGGAGATACTCGTTGACTTCACCGCCTACCCGCTCATCCTTCCAAGAATACCTGGGCAGGGCAGTGTGAATTGCAATTTGTGGGTTTCCTTTGGAAAAGCGGTTTCTATCCCTATAGCCTTTATACCACCTGCAACCAGGTGATGCCCTTATCTATAGCTTTATGGGCATGCCAGGGCATGGGTGGCTATGTGGTGAGGGCCTGTGGGTCAGCAAGTTCGGTATGTTCCAACCATGCTGAACAGATCCTCTGGTGACAACGTTCTTGCAAGAAGTCATCACAATGTATCCAATCTACCCAGGGTGGAGCCAATGGAAGGAAGAAGGAGCAGCCTAGCTAGCCGTTTACTGCATGCTTGCAGTCGGAGCTTCACCCAGATCGCCTCGTTTGCCTGCCTTCTGTTGTATTATGAAAAATCCCACTGCAGCCAGAATCACAAGGAATGCAGTGCATCCCAGAGTAGCCCCAACAACGACACCAGTGTTAGGAGATTCTGAACTCAACTGTTTTGGCTCTCCAGGGGCTGTAGTGAAAATGGTGATTTCGTCATCGTCTGGAGAGACTTCAGCGGTACCAGCAGCTCCATCCAGCTCGTCATCCGGCTCGTCAGTAGCATCCGGTTCTTCAGTAGCACCGTTAGTTGCAACGTATCCTTCCTGGACAAGCTCCAGAATGGGCTGGTCTGGCGAGGAAGATGCAAAAAGGTAGAGCTCTGGGGGCAGATTGTCAGCATTCAGAATGAGGGGACCGCGTGTCACACAACCGCCGGTATTCCCATCATATGCAATCGGGGGAGAGCTGCTACTCGGCTGGTCATGTAGACAGACGGATTGGTCTCCCAACTGGACTGTGAAACGATATGTTACGCCACGTCTTAGGGGAAACTGACCCGTTTCGAGTTTGGTCCTGTTGCCATCTGTGACAGCTATTGGCTCAGTGCCACCGTTGTTGGAGATGTAAAACTCATTGCTGCAGAAGTACCCCAGCCACTGCACATTCGTGCAAACGCCTCCTGCATCGCACTCGGAACCATCGTTGATAGGCAAACACTGGTGACAGTAGTACCTACAGCAGAATGAGTGCAAGGGAAAATGAATGTGCAAGAAGATATTGTGAGTGTAGGTAACAGGAGGCTCGCGACGTGTTCGACACTTGAGCAGAAACTTACCCTCCCAAGAGCAATGCATCAAAGTTCAGCTCTGAAGTGGGACCACAGTCGGTTCGGTTGGCTAACAGGGCAGCTGTTTCATCCATTCCTGCCATCGATTGCACATCTGGGTTGTCGCTGGCATAACCCGTATCATCGTGTACCTGATCAAAGAAAACGGCGGCGGGTATAATTGGATCCACGGTGCATTCGTAGTTGCGATAGACGGCAAAGAAGCCATTCGTGTTGGCTACCTCATCGACTGCTTGTCCGGCCCGGCCCAATTCGGTTTGGAAGGATTCTGAGGAGCGGCTGGCTTCTGGATTGGCACAAGCTGACAAGGGGTGCACAGAATTGAGCGTGTTGGTGTGTTCATCCACAAAGTGTAAGATGTTAGTAGCGGGCGAGAAGGAAAGCCCGCCAATAGACGTGAAGCCAGTTGCAATCTCAGCAAGAGTTGCGCCGGTTTCGACCTCCAACACTAAAATCTTCCCTGTGTCGCGTTCTGCAACAAAGAGCAGGTCACCGTCAGGGCCAAGTGCTAACCCAGTGGGAGTTTGAATGCCAGAAGCGAGTTCTCTGTGATCGACACACTCAAAAATGTTGTACTCAAAGGAAGGGAGCCTGTTGGAGTAAATGGGATATTCTTCTCTGGCAGTCCTTGCGTACGAGCCACTATCCACGCTGACAACTATGATGCGGTTCTCGCTCGGAACCGAGACAAACAGCTCCCTCCTTGCGGGGTGGACCACCATGCCAGCATGCACTCCTTCTGGTCCCCGAGCAAATTCAAGTTCGGGGAACCTACGAATGGAAGCCACAGAATGATCCATGCTCCCTATTGATCAGCACAACAACGCAACGTCAATGGCCGTGTGAGACGATCGCAGAGTATCGGTGCAGTCCATGATTGTGAATCATTCTGCTTACCTGGTCCGTGGGGCTGCTGGAAATCAAATCTCACCAGCTGTGCTCTTGCATTGTTTCCAGTGTTATCAAATGCCCAGTAGACATTGCCAAACGCACCTGACGTCATTCCACAAAAAGAAACATTCTGTGAGCAAGTACTAGCAGAGTGTGCCCGTGGCCTTCATCTGTTGTACTCACTTCTAATCTCAGGGTCATGGGCAATCCCAATGCAATCAGGTGCCTCTGGGATGATATAGCGTAGAAAGTAGGAATGAGAAAGCGCACGAAGACAATTTCTATCAAGGGACCCCGAACAGCTGTACAACTAAGTAACCCACCGTGCAACATATCCGCGTGAAGGAAGAAACAAGGTTCTTCAGGCCCACAGGGTTCTCCCAGTCGATTTACGGTGTTTCGATTGTTCGGATCGGTGTTGTAGAGAGTGGGCCCCATGAAATAGTTGGGCTCTTTGGAGCCCAAATATGTGTTGGCATTGGCATTGCAGACGGCGAAATAGTTGAAGGAATCCCGATCCCGAGCTCGGGTAGAATTGCTGACCATGTTGAAGGCGAACGCTGTTGCGTTTATCATGTAATGGTAATATCCCCGATCCCGTCGACTAATTGTTGATTGTACGGGAGTGCCGAGCGAGGTGACAATGGAGACAGAGTGGTTGTGCGCATTGAGGACCCAAGCTTCTTCCCCTTGATCGGGATGAAAGGATCTTCCTTCGGAATAGTGACCAAGATGCAAGCCAGGAGTTGGATGGCTGCATGCAATTTTTAATAAAAATCAATCATGAGGGTCCGTGTCAGTTTTCTCTCCGTCAATTCGCCTTTCGTTTTCTTGTGGGAGGATACGGTTGTACTTACAAGGCCACATCTCTGGCACCATCAAAGCCGGAAGCAACCGTTTTCACTTGCCACGTTTCTCCAAATTCCTGGATGCAGGAGCCTTCCGCAGGACAAGGTTCCGCTACAGGACCCACGCAGGGTCTCGTTTCCACGGGAGCGGGACAATCCTCCAAGGTACCACTAGTAGTGGGCGTCACTGTCCTCCATCGAAACTCCATGCCGGTTCCACAAGTGACACTGCAATCGGACCATTCCGAAAACTCTGTAGCCGTACAAGGGGTTGTTGCAGTTTGTGGGGGAGTGGTTTCCTCCTGTGGATTGTTGTTGTTTACATTGTTTACAGCATCATCGGTAACGAGATTGGTCCCCGTTTCCATCAAAATGGCATCAATGTATCCGGAGAGTGTCTCGTCCAATGCCACTGCAACATCCGCTGTACAATCAAAATAATCCTCATAACCACAGCAAGGTCCAATAAACTTGTGACGAACACGAAGATCGCCATCGAGAATGACATAGCTGGGGTGACCAAAGGGTGTCGTGAACCTTACAGCAATTAATGAACAAAAAGGCCAACAAATGAGAAATCTTTTGAAAAGAAATTAGCAACAGCACACTCTCCATTTTATTCTTTTCCAAAGAAGATCTCACCAATCATCTCGAATTTCGTATTCTTGATCCAGCACCGTAAGAGGCATTTCCTTGGGAGTCACTGTCCCATCGGGAAACAGCTCCAAGGCATCGGCTTGATAGAGTCCAGCCCACTGATTGCAGGTAGTCCCACCCTTCAGAGACGTGATAAAGGTGGTACGATTCCCGTAGCGATCGTAGTACTTTTGCGCCGTATGAGCAAAGACTCCGGATTCTCGTCGGCCCGCATTGCAACCAATGTAAAAATTGGACAGGACTGTTACTTTGCCAGTGCCAAGGAAATCTCGAAATCGAAATTTGGATGAAGCGGGGTGGCAGACGGTGTATTCCTTGTCGATAATGCTGGTGGTAGAGGCTTCTGTGGCTAGGTCTCCCTCGCAAAGAGACGGTACTGGTGTCCCAAAGTTGATGGGTGGGCAAGTATTAGTGCACCCTTGGGATGATACTTGAGATACCCATAAAGAAAACAGCAGAAAGCTTCCGAACAGCAGAGACCTGCTGCTACTGCTGCCAAAAAGAGGATTCTTGCCTTTCAACATGATGCCTTCTAATCAGACAATTAGAGACACCAACTGTAATGATGAGAGAGAGCAATGCTATCGACCTCGAAGTGCGGAACGCCCAACAAATGAGGGAGTGTCATTGGGAATCAGTCGAGTGAGTCATTGGGTGTGAGTCAAAGGCCGTTCTGCGAAAAATTGGTCGGTAAAAAAAGATCCTTGTGGGCTGGGACGCACAGTAAACTGATCATTACCTCGATGTCCCTGTTTCCACCGCTGCATCTCTGTGTCTCGACTCCCCCTACCGGTGTTGTACTGTCCCATTCCTCTCCACTAATTCCCTCTCCTCCTGCTCTCCTTCCGGTCCCCCACTCCACCCCGTTTCCCGGGCACAAGCCTCTCGGGGCCTACCATGGTATCCCACCACCGGTGGCCCACTGTACCCAGCTGAGAACCCCCCCCCTCTCTCCTTCACCATTTTCTCTCATCATGTTGCAGCGTCCACGGGTCACTCCAAGCTTCAAAGGGTCAGATGCATTGAGACCTCATGAACACTACACTGAAAAGTGAACTACTCAAGAAAGAACAAGCCAACTGAAAATCTTTCAGAGAGTCGTTTCTATTGAAATGCTGTAACATTCAGAATCATTATTTTAAAAGTAACATGTAATCAAAACTAATTTGTTGCTCAGTTGAAGCCAAGTCCACCTCCCAGGTCATTGTTCAATTGTTCCACAATAGAAGGAACAACAGCCTCTCGGAGGTTGCGGACAAAGAGGTCTGCCAAGAATGCATCAATGTCAAAATCAATGTCTTGTCCAAAGCCTCCAATATTGAGGTTCAAGGAATCATAGGTGATGTCGGCTTGTTGCACATCAATAGAGCTCGCCATGGACAAACCCAGCATCAACAGATTGGGACTGGTACCTGCAATGGTCATCTGGATATTCATGGTGGGGTTGGTTGCCACAATCGAGCCTCCTACAGATTCATCAATGGCAACACCACATGCATCTGCTGTAATGGATGCTGATGTGTCCGCTGTGAGGTCATGAAAGCCAGCCTTGAAGACCCATGTACCATTCCAGTTGGCTTCACCTGTTCCCAAAATGCCAGAGGTCTCAAACACAGGATCTGTGCCAGGAACAAGTTCAAATGTTTCAATCTGAAAGGAATTCAGACCTCGGACAGCTCCCAAGGCATAGGAAAGGGATGCTGATGCAGTGCAAACGCCCAAGTTGATTTCACCCAGGTCCATGCTCTCATCAATTGCTGCTAGCTCCACAGCTCCCAGTGATGTCCGCATTGCCAGGTTCAAGATTGGGACAAAAAAACTGATCACACTGTTGATGGTGGTTGCAATCAAGTTCCTTTGCATATTGTCACTTCCACGGATGCCAGCACCTTCAATGGAGGTACTCAGAGCAAGAATGGCAGAGACAAAGATGAGGCAAGTTGTTTGTATCTTCATGTTTGGGGTAGACTTCAATTGGATTGGTCACTTGGAGGGTGATTGGAGCTGGTTTGCTTGTTGTTGTTTGCTGTTTGCTCAATTTTGATTTTGATTTTATGGGCTTGATCAAGAATTGCGCTGCGTCCAATCTTACCTATTGATGATGGGAAGTGGGATCCTACTGGGCCATACAATCAACTCCCGGGTTGGACACCCACACCTCGACGAAGTTGTGGCTTTGTCACCGTGGTCAATCTTGCCAGTCAAACAGGCCAATTTCCCACGTTGCGGGTGGAGCCAGGTGAGTCGTATCTGCACTGGCCGGCCGTGGGAGATTTCTCCACGATACCCTTTCCAATGTTGTCTTTCCAGCTCTCGGCCATGGCTCTGTCCGGACTAAATAATGTAGAACCGTGCCCACCAGTCAGTGTGGACCTGATGAAAACGACCTGATTGCATGTGTGGGACAAGAAGCAGCACATTGGCTAATCCATTGAAGCTAGGCCTAGCTTCAATGTTTGCTTGCGTATTCTAAATAGCTATCAGTCTATCAAATGGAACCTCCCTGGGCGTCCACCCGACTTCAGGCGGCACAGACTCATTTCTTGTGTCTCCTGCTCGTGACAGAGTCTGCTTGGGAAAGAAACATGCCGCGTCATCCGCATATCCGCATCTTCGAATTCCTCCGATACCCGGTGAATGGAGAGAGACGAGGCTCGGTCAGCCCTGCGGTCTACCACAAGTAGCCAGCTAGCTAGCCAGGCGCAAGAAGGCTCATTCAATTTGCATTCTTTCAGCTGGAACTCCTGGTGGCAAACGAGAACAAAGCAGTGATCATCCACAGGATGTCAGGAAGATTGAATTCGTCCTGTCTGTGTGGCCCAAGGCAGTGCAGAGTCATGCTGATTGATTGGAACCGAACCCCAGCAACATTGGCACAGCACGAGCACCCTAGATCAATCGGATGTTGCTGCATTTGATAGACTCGTCTTGGTCGATAGGCATTGGGAAGCTGTGTCGATTTGTTGGGCCTTGGTGTACACTGTACCAGGAATCCTCTAACTGTGGGGCCTAGGCGATGACTGATGAGGTGTAGAGATGTACCAATCATGTAGGCGAGGAGTGCGGGACAACCTGTGGTTGGTTTCCGGCATAAGAACATTTGACTTTTTGGGTAGACTAAGAGTCGAATGCGAAGCGCTTTACGAAGACCCTTGGGCATCAACCATCCTCTCGTACCATTGGTTTCTGTTTTGTGTTGATGTTGCTGTGGAATCGAACTCTCGACGTTTTGTGCAATGCGGCATTCGCTTTTCGTGGGAACGAGAGGTGCTTCGCAAACTTGGAAGGACATTTTAGTTGCTACGACAAACCACCAATCACCATCCTTTTGTCTACTTGCTAGCTGAAACGAATCCGAGAAGTGGGGGTCATTGCTTGACGATCTCGTACAGGCAACAACCGGTGATGCCACTGAAGCAGTAGTACGCACGGGACACCAACTTCTTGAAGGCTTGAATACTGCCCCATGCACGATGGTAGCTAGCTAGCTATCTACCGAGGCGCCGGAGGTGCGATGGGATTAACTTGTGGAATGGTACTAAAATGTAAAATTGTCTACTGAACTTAGGATGCTGCTAAGAGTATGGACATCAGTTGCTGTAACTGGTGTGTGTAAGAAGGTAGCAGTTTGCAAGCCAGGAGGTATTCATCGTGAGGAGGATCTGGAGGTAGCGACGGCTTGGTTGGATTGTCGCTTCAGTTAGCGGGTGTTGTTCTTTGCCAACCAGGCACGGTATGCCTTGACATGTTTCACACCCTGGTCGTACAAGTGATCCCAGGGTTGCTGTTCAAAATTGGCCACGGGGGACTTCTCCAAGGCATCGACAATGACCGTGCTAAAGAAGAGGTCTCGTACCTCGCGGGAAAGGCGATTGTTGCCCACGGTGGGTAGCGTATAGACATTGGCGTTGCACCCCCCTCGGCCGCACATCATGGGTTGGTGGCTTTCCAGGGCCTTGCTATTGTTCAAAAGATCCCTACGTCGGAGACGGAGGACCCGGATTTCTCGGATCAAGGCAATGATTTGTTGGGCCTTTTGCGCTCCGACCGTCTTGATCAGGAGCTCTCTTCGACTGGGCTTGTTCGGTTTGGTGGAAGAGGAAGATGCTTTGGTGGACCGACGCTTTTCCAGAGCGGATTGGAGTGTCCGCATCCTCAATTGGAAGGTTTCTTCGTCGGTGCAACTATTGTTGCTGTCGTCGTTGGTAGGGACGGCCAGGGCCAAGAGCTTGCCAAGGCGCTGTGACAAGGCGGCGCTGGATTCTCCGACCGTTGTTCCTTTGGGAAAGACACATCCCTTTTGTTTGAGGCGTTGGTCACTGAAGGGTAGCAAGAAGAAGAAGAAGTATGGTCAGTATGGCTGATCTATTGGTTAAGCACAATCAACGGACAAGGCCTAGTAGGAGCACTTACAGCAGCTTGGTCATGTTGATCTCGACCTGGGAGTTGTTGCAGATATCGTTATTCATGGAGTTCATGATCAAGCAAGGAGCAATCATAATAGAATGGGGATAAAAGGCTTGCTCTAAGATAATGGCTTGGATTGTTGCGCTGGAGCGGGATTGTGAGTATTCCAAAAGCAGTGATGTCAAAGGTGCCAAACCAGGACAAGCTGCGGAGCGGAGGAACTGAAATATCCGCCAGATCCATGCAGCTTTTGCGCTTTCACCGATGGCCTTACCCCCTTTCTCCTTTCGGTGGAGTTTGTGAGACCGTCTCAGACGGATAAATTTCAAAGGCCTTCGATCCTTCGACTTCGCGCTTCGCCTTCACCCTCGTCGTCAGCTGACTCTGACACGAGTTTAAGTTAATTGTTGGCTTGTCTCTGGAAATTCACACTGGCTGTTTGAAAAGGATGGTTGAAGGGCGAATGGTACAAGTTCAACATACAGTAATTACTATAGCCCATTTTGATGTGTTCCTGGCTGTTCCTATAAAGTAAGGTCTTGGTGGTCTCCCATTTAATTAATGTCAATGGCATATATTTTTTTAACAGTGAGGTCTTTTTGATAGGTAACTTAGCATAATGGTTACCTCTTATTTAAATCTTCTGTTGTCGATGAACAAGCAATTCACTGTATGAACTCAGAAACTCCTCCCCTCCTTGAAAACCACGAGCTGCCAAAGGAGAAACCTTGGGCCTGTGGCCTGTTAGCGGTGTTTTTCAGAAAATCCTACCATGACGGCAGGTATTAATATGGTACCGCCGTACCGGAGGTAATTGATAGGGTAGAGGCCAGCTAGGTTTCGACTGGTACCGGTACATTGTAGCTTGTACGGTTACATGTACATGTAGCTAGCTGATGATGGAAGAGATACCGGTAGGCACTTGAACGGCTGCAGCCTTCTTTTACATGTACATGTATTCGATTGAAGCTGGAAGAGATTGGCACTTCTAGAGCTAGGCAGTTTGTTGCTTTTTAGTCCTTTATTCACGTCGCGGGTCGCGGAGGATGGTCCTGCCCTGGTCCTGCCAACCTAGAAACCCAATCCTTGTATTTGAAGAAGGGGAATAGTGAGGGACTAAAGTTATAGCAGTTGAAACAGCCACTTCGGTTCGTTTTCCTGCAGTTACGGCACCCAACACAACCTTGATTATGTCAATGTCTCTGACCGCATCGGGCTCTCTTTGCTTATCGTTAGCGATGTGTCCCTCGCAACTCGCAACCGGCCAGCCGAAGACCCTGTTCTCTGCTGCCCCATTCGAGCTGTTGCACGTAACCGATGGAACAGTTGGCTTTTTAGCCTCAACCATTGGATAAAAGCCCAAGCATTTCATCCCACCCCTTCTTCCGGCATGTGATCATCGCTCAGTACTCAGATCAACGAGCCTTGCAACTGCTGCACTGTACCGGTATGTCTCTGGCTTCGACGATTTCCGATTGGCAGGCCTGCTTCGGTGAAATAGTGTGAAATAAATGCACGTTTTGGCTACCGGAAGAGCACTTGAAAATCGTGATAGTTGCTTAGAGAGCGGTTTACATTTTGGTTTTCCTCTGCAAGGGTGAGAACTGCCATGGCCGAACCGAGCAAACCGTAGAGAACTCCCTGAAGTAAATAAAGTATAATCACCAGCGAGGTGGCAGCTATTCACTCGTCCTTCCGTTGCCACCATCAAGAGGCCTCGAATACTCCGCAGGCTAGCTACTACAGTAGTTGTTGCTCTCCTGCCTCTCTTACGTTTGTCGTCCGGACCTCATTGCATTCTTGCTTGACGAATGCAGCTTTTGTGTGCGGGCGGAGCCATGACTAGCTAGCCTTTCTTCGCTAGGCAGCTCTTGACCGGCATCGCCCTACCGTACATATGTCAAGACGAACACACTATGTCTCCTCGGTTGCACCAGTTGTTCACCACCGACCAAGAACTTAAGGGTTAGTTTCATCGAAGAGTTCTCACACTTTCTACAGTGGCTGTTGGTTCTCTAGAGCTCTAGAGCAGCAGCCTTACTGCGTGCCTGACCGACACAGAGATCTCGCTGGCTGGAAGGCCCACGAGTAAAGTAGCTAGCTAGCTTGTAGCTAGTAACAAGATTGATTCCAGTATCAAGGGAAGGACCAATCAGTTCATTCAAAGCTGCCCGCTTGCTTTGCTTGCTTACCAATAATGCAGTCTGAGACTGGCTCCAGCTCGGCTTTTTCGTCGACTTCGTGGACAGAGCTCGGGCAAACGGAACTGCTGCTTTCCTTAGTACTCTTGTATCGTCTTGTTGGAGCAGCATGGCTCTGGTACTGGGACTATCTTCGACAGTGGTTGTCTCACAGAAACCTAGCTACTAGCTGGCCAGTAAGCGAGGCCCAAATGGGAGTTAACCATGTCGTTTCGACACCATGCATTCCCACGAGCGAACCGACCGTCCTTTCTTTTCTAGCCAGGGAAGCGTTTTGGTACATTTTAAAGCAGCAAAACTCACAAAACCACCACGAAGAGACACCAGAGCATCTCATTGAGTTGTCAAAACTGACAAGCGGTCAACTCCTGTTCCCAACAGCTTTCTGTCTATCATTTACCTATTGTGAAAATGACGAGCTGAGAACCACAAAGCATTTAAAAAATACAGCAGGACGTTTCCACATGTATCAACATTTGCTGAAATTTTGTTCACATTGGCTGGCAAAAAGAAGGATTCCTGATCTCTGGTCCATTTACTTTAGAAGTGCTGTGCATATGCCCATGACATGGCTACCTGCTACCGTAGAGATTGAAAGAGGTCAGCTTGCTTCAGCCACGCGGGCTAATGTAGACTGCCACTCATTTTATGTATTGGAATGATCAATTGATTGATTCAAAAGAACTGCAAAATGCATTTCACTCTGCATGAATGAATGAGGATTTCATTGAAGTGTTGGGGGGCTTGAGCGGGGAGGATGTGACGTTCGTAGGTTCCTGCCGGGAAGTTGCAGGCCCCATGGTCCAACATGTATTGGGAGTAGTGGTGGGTGGCAGCAGCAGCAGCTTGGATGCACATGTATCGGAGCATGGCATCGGACTTCCATCGGCTGAGAAGGTGGATGACATCAGAATGGACATGTGTGCAGAGGAGGGCTGTGGCAGCACTGGGACAGAGGGAGCGGGCAGAGACTTTGTCGGGGAAGATACTTCTTCTTACTGCTTCACCGGCTTCAAATCTAGCGCATACGCCAGTTCACTTAGAGCTCCTCTGTTCTTCGGGGTTTTAATCATTTAAAGCAAAAGTAGCATCTTTCTCTTTCATGTAGGATGACCTGCAAGAAAAAGGTCCAAGCAGTCATCAATTAGACGTAATCCCAAAAGACTACAGCCTTTCTGAATAAGCCTGTACATATTACACCAACTTGGGTTTAAAGTCACCCTTTTCATTAATTCCATGGTGATCCTCTGACGTGACATGCCATTACATACAACTCCACCTCTCTTTCGGGCAGTGCCTTCCGCTGCGTTCTTGTGACAGCTCTCGTGACTCGTGACGCACTTTGGGACTGTACTAGCATAGTACCGGTAGCAACGGTAGCAACGCACGCAGTCACGGTGAACATGTGAACACGTAAAGACTCTCACTGGCACCCGTGGACATTGTCCTCGAGGCGCCTTCTAATGAAGCCGCATCGCTCTGTTACTCCGGTTGCCTTCCTCGGTTGCTGTTTTTATTACTAGTACTCTAGTAGGTGCTTGTGAAGTAACACCTCAAAGAGCCAGAACAGATCTGATAGATACCACCGGTAGCTAGCTAGATCCATTCTGCTGCTACCAATCCCATTGCTGTTACCTGAGAGAGAGAAGAGAGCACTGTTGTGTCCAAGATAAGAAAGAAGGACTTGTCTATTCTCCCCTGCTCAAGTCATTACCATAGAGGAGCTAGCGGAGTGTCACTACAGTATCATCAGATCTGGAAGTGCGAAAAGCGGTACCAGCGTGAGCTTATTACGGTCCCGGACAAACCTTACCTTGTTTACCTTACTCGAGCTGAGGCAATAATACATACATACTGAAGAAAGAGAGAGAGACCAGCTAGCCACTAGCAATCCAAGATGTCGCGACAACTACTACAACCACACAGCGACGACGACGAGGACACGGCGCAGTTGGAGACGATGGAAGACGAGAGTCAGCCACAGGCAGTCATGGGCAGCAACTACTTTACAGCCACCGATGATGACGACGAGGACGACGAGATCCAAGCGTTCGAAGTGGCCATGCAACAACAGCAACACGATGATGCTAGTGACACTGACAGTAGTGACGACCAGCGGCTGCCCATTGTTCCTGCCATGGCCGAAGAAGGTCATCCCGACAACACAGCCAAACATCGGGAAGAAGAAAGCAGCGGCAGTGGTCCCTTTCAAGACGAGCCCTACTCCACCACCACCAATACCACGTCCATGACCAACACCACCGCGTCGGAACGAAATCTCCTCGACGAAGAAGGCGACGACCAATTTCGACCCTTGGACGACAGTTTCATGAGAGACAATACCAACCACACAGCTCCCAATCCGTCCACTGGAGGAGACTTTCTGGGACTCCGCAGTCAACAACAACTACACCCACAGCAGCAACATCCACCACAAGGCGGCAAACAACGACGCAATTCTCTCGCCTTGCGCAAAAATATTCCGGCACAATTCACGTTTGCCGGAATGGCGCCATCCTCCATGAACAGCAGTGACCTCTACGATGTCACCAACGACATTGATGCCTTTGTCGAACAACAGCAACGAGCGCCCAATAATAACAACAATAACAACAACAACAAGACGCGCACAACGGCCAATTTGTTGTTGTTGCACACGGACGACACGTCGTCGGCCGTCGAAAAACGAAGGGCCGCCGCCGGATCCAGTATTTCTTCAGCGCCGCCCGACAAGAAACGAACCAGTCCCAGCAATCCTCGCAAATGGGGATTGCTGCGTAGCACCTGTTTGAATCCACGCTTTTCGCTACAGACACAACTCATGCTGTCGTTTGGATTCGTCAGTGTCGTCATGATTTCCACCGTCATGGCCATTTGCATCATTGTCACCATTTTGTCGGGACAAAATGTCAATCAAATCACCACCGATACGTTTGAAAATTTGGCCACCAACATGGGAGGGACCACGTCGCGGTATATTGCCGAATTCTTGACGTACCGACTATTGCCGACCGATCTGGTCGCCATTGTTTGGGAAACCACTCGTGATCGCATGGCGGGATATCCCGATGCGCCCGGATTTGACGTTGATGCCCAAGTCCCCTTTTTGGATACAATTTCCCAAACCAATCGATATCCCATTGTGGCACCGCCGTTGCCACTCGATTGGCAGATTGACTCTAATGTCCATGCCGACAATTACCAAGAACACGTCCAACAAGAACGATGGTCCTGGTATCAAATGAACAATCGCTACGCCAGTAGTAGCAGCACCACTACTAGAATACAACAAACCGCACTCAGTACCGCCACGGCGGGATTCTTCATGCAAGGCATGTGTAATCCCAATGTCACGGACGCACTACATCCACACTATTATCCCAATTGCTCGCCGGAACACAATGACATTGCCACGGGAGGTGTCGTGGCACCCACCGACTTGACGGGCATACTTCATCGCAAGGGATCCGATCTCAGTCCCATTCTCAAATCGCTCTACGAATATCATCAAGACATGAAAACCATTGGAGTTGCCTTTGCCAATCGAGGGGCCGGGGCAACGGTTCAGTATCCACTCTATTCCTTGCATTCCAGTGCCACCTACGTCTCACAAGGATGTGACTGGATGCATCAACCCAATCCGTACAAACCATACCAAACCATTGCCGGTGTCTCCGACATGGCCCTCGCCAGCAAATGTCATCCCGTCGGTACCAACGTCTCGTTTCGAGAATACAATCCCATGGAACAAGAATGGTGTCGCAAACAGGCATTGGAACCGGAAAAATTTCACATCGAAGGACCGCATCTCGATGATGCCTCGTGGCACGGAATTGACCAATATCGATGGGTCATGACCATTGGACGTGCCATGTACGATCGGGTTACACTCGAGTTTATTGGGTGCATTCGGGCCACAATCGTGTTGGACTTTTTGGATCAACTCTTGGCGGATGCCTGCGTCACGGATCGATCGCACATTACCGTGGTAAAATGGGATGATGTCGGAACTGTTGTGGCATCGTCGGCACGAGACATGACACAGGCCAATACTACGGTGACGGTGGATCAACTCGAACAGAGTGTCGGAATGACCATGGAGAATTATCAGGAACTCAAGAATTTGGTCGATTACACTACCGAGTGGAATAGTACGGATGTGCGAAATCGATACGAGTCCTTTGTGACCAGCAATGATGGGTTTTGGATTGCCGCCTACCCCATGCCGCCGCCACCGGAAGAGTACGATCCGGAGTATCGACCGCAGTTCTTGGCAGTCAAATCCTTGTCGCGAGATGATGTCTTCAATCATGTGCAAGCATCACAGGGGACGGTGGATGACAGTGTCAATGATCTCGTCAATTTGACACTTTTGATTGGAGTCATTGGGTTGGCCACGGTTCTGGTCATTGTGGCGCTGGTCTCCAACAGACTGACATTACCGCTCCGATTCATGAACGAGGTCGCCAGCAATATTGTCAACAACTATGTGGACAAAAAGGAAGACGGCATCGATTACGAAAAGCCAGAAGAATATCATTCTAGATGTACCCCACGAACGGAGATCAGCGAGGTTGTCGCCGAATTCCAGGTAAGTCAAGAAAATGACGTGTAAAACCGGTAACCCCAAGCCATGTGGATGGCAGCTCACATATTTGCATCCCCTAGAAAATGGTGGCACGCTTTTCTGGCTCTGCCAATGCCAAGGCAATGAAAATCAAGTTCACCGAAGTCTGGAATCGATTTGAAATGTACGCTCAATTTGCGGACTTGTATGCTGCACGAGAAGAGGCTAGTTTCAAAAAGTACAGAATGTGCAAATGCACGACAAGTCATGACGACGACCAATCTGCAGATCAAGCGACAACCACAGAACCGAAACGAAAGCACTTTGGGACAGTCTTGTGCACACAGGATGACGTTCCACCAACTGTAATCCAGAAAGAGGCACCGGAGGATCTCAAGGCTCTGCCGGAGAAATCACAGAGATTGCTGTCTCCCCTCTTCTTGTGGATAGTGTTTCTGATTGGCACTCCTCTCCTGGTGATAACAATCGCGCTTACCGCAATTGTCACATACAACATCAACAGCGAATTCCCGACGCTTGCGCAAGACGCAAAGGCAGATTACCTGGATATGGAATTGTTTGCGCTACAGATCTATGTTGGTCTTCGGGCAAATTTCGTTTCAGCAGTCACCTCACAGTCCACAAGAGACTTGCACCTTGTCACCAGGTATGCTAGCTGGCTGCTCTTTGACGGGATTGAACGAACCGATTCCTTTACAGAAATGGCTGCTGGATCGGAAGAGTGCAAATGGTACGACGATTACTCTGAATGCCCATTTTTTCAAGAGAATCCGTGTTCTTGTGATTGGAATACAGGTCACGACGATTGCCAGTGGTACGACATCGACAGCAGGTATCTTCAAAAGCTCCTGGCCACGACTGAAGCCTTGGATCTACTTCCTGATGGCGACAGAAACGCGACAAGCTATCCCAAAGTGGCATATTCCCCCAATACGACAGCCTGGTTTCACAATACTTCAGAGCTTCCCGGCGCTGAAAAGGGGAATGCAGCGTCTGGTCATGACACCACGTACGACCGGTGGCGAGTTTTGTCCGCTTTACCGATAATGCAGGCACTCCACAACTACGATGAGATTAAAGGGACTGTCGATGGTGCTCACGTGGCGATGGAAGAGGACGGCACCTTTATTGGCTATTATGCCTGCGGAAGCGCCATGACGTATTCACCATTCTGGGTTTCCTCCGAGTCGAATGGGGCTGCAGATGCTCGTCCGGAGCTTTGTCCTTTGGGCAAGTATGGATACGATGCACGTTGCAGGGGATGGTACGATTCGGGCAGAAACATGTACCTTGAAAACGGCAACACGTTCTACTTGACACCACCGTACAATGATGCTAACGACGAAAGCTACATCACACAGTCGGTGACAACTTCAATCGTGAACCCAGAGACGAAGGAGCATGTGGGCCAGAGTCTTGTCGATTTCCAGGCCCAGACTGTCTTCGTTGCGTTGAACCACGAGAACACGCCACTCGGGGGATACGGGTCGCCGGTGCTGATAGCGCCTGAATCTGGAGCATTTGAAGGAGATACAGTCATTGGCCCAGGATATGTAAGTGACGGCCCCTCCCCGCGCATCGAGGATCTTATTCTTGCGCATGGAGGAGACCCCAACTGCTCCAGCGCTGGGTGTTTAGGCAGAGAGCAATTTCGTGCCATTGTACACAACATGAAGAACGGCACCACAGGGGCCACACAGTTCTGGCGAACAGGGGAAGACGATTCCCGAGAAGAAATGTTCATTGCGCATGCGCCTGTCAACGTGAAACAGTTGGACCCGAAGAACAGTTCTGATTTTGCCAGAGGTGTGGAGTCTCGGGACCACTTGATCTACTCTCTTGCCTTTGTTACCCAGGTGGATGGACTATTGCAACCTTTCGAAGCCATTGCAGAAGAAATGCTTTACCAGAGAAATGTTGCAATCGGTGTACTTTGTATTGTGATTGTGTTGTCAGCGCTTCTTGTGCTTTACATCTCAAGCAGTGTGGCATCATCAATTACGAAACCGATGCTTTATTTGGTTGGACTGATCCGACACATCAATCGGTAAGCTCTGCCACAGGGAGATGCCTTTGTGTTTTTGCCGTCTCTTTCTTACGCTGATCGTATCTGTAGGCTTTCGGTGGATGACATTTCAGCTTCGTTGACTCCCGAAGTGGACAAAGATTATGGTTGCCGCGAGGTTCGGCACGTGTCCAGCACGATGGAAGTGCTGCACAAGGTTGTGCGAGACGCCAACGTTGCTTTCTTTGCCGGGGACGTTGAAACGGCGTATGCTGTGTTGACAGATACCTTGCGCCTGTTCCAGCGTTTGGACAACAAGAAAGCCATTGGTGTGAGCAACAACAATCTTGGCAACTGTATGCTTACGATGTATCGCCGAATGCAGACGACAAAGGAAGAGAAAGTGTGTGGTTTTACGCAAAAGGAACTTGTCCAAAAGGGAGTGGCGTACTTCCACAAGGCCATCAAACTTGGAGAGGCGGCGTATGATGATTTCTACGAAAGAGAAGGGTGGTCTCCCAACTGTCTCGAGTTTATGCAGCACCTCTCCAATCGCTATTTCAATCGGGCCATGTTTCTTCTCACTGTTAAAGACAACCACAAGAATCCCCGTGAGCTGGAAGAATTGGGCTTTCGAGATCTTCAGATTGTTCGAGATATGGACGTGGAAATTGTCGATGAAGGCACCCAGGTCGGATGGGATGTTCGTACCGCCGACCAGCTGTTTGATGTCAAGATGAGTCGTATCAAGGGCCACCTGTTGCTGCTGGAAATGGGATATCCGGATGAATGGGATATCGACGAACTGTTGGACGATGCAGTGAAGATTGTCTCGGGTGAGCTTAATAAGGGTGGATCGAAGCTGTTTGTCGAGTTGTGCCAAGTGGGTCGAATGCAGCAAGTCGAGGCAGAGTTGATACGATATCTTCAGCTCAAGGGAGACCTGGAGAACGCCTCCAAGGTGGCAATTAGGATGCTGTTGGAGGACGAGTACACGCTCCCGGGTGCACAAACTCGGGCGGTGGAGGTGCTATTGGAGTATGTACAAAGTCAAGAAGATACCGCTCAATATGATCGACTCGTCAGACGAGAACTGGTCGACTACCAAGTGTGGGTGAACATGGTGGACGAAGAGAATGACCACCGGCTCTCTTCAGGCGCGGATGGCAGTGAGATCAACGAACGATCTGAGGTGTTCCACTTATCAACGGCACGGCTCTCTACCAGCTCGAGCGCAGACATGACAATCAGGAGGAGGAGTACTCTGAAAGAGAGTATGCGAGGTGACTTTACGATGGAAGTCTTTTAGATCGCTTGAACGTACGGTCTCGCTTTTCAGTTTGCTTCTCTCCAGCCGACCATGCGTTTATTTCATTCATCCCTCCCGCTCGAGCGCTTACACGAACCTTCCCACATGCATATCACGAGCCGTGACTTCGTTCTGGGGTCTTTGAGGAGGATGGGAATGGCCTGTCTCTAGGCTCTTGCAGAGAGGTACCGTCGCATAATGTGTTGTCAGATCAGGTAAAGGGTGCTAGCCGGTACCAGTAGTCAGTACTAGAGTATACTGGTACCAGTACTGACTTGAAGTCCAGTGTTGCTGTAGTAATGTTAACCCTGAATTTCATGCTTAGCCTTCCCCCTACTTTGTTGTGTCCTGTTCGAATTCGTGACTGCGTGGTTGAAGTTTCCTTTGCTCATGCCTCCATTGCCCCTCATCCGGATCGCCTTTGTCAGGATCATCATTTTCTTGGCCCCTGCCTTCCAATCACCATGGCTCCCAGCAAGTCAACCGATGTGGCCTCAATGAGCGCAGCTCGTTCTGCGTCCAAGACAGCACCTCCCACTACAGCCCGGGATGGCTTTGATTTGATTTCTCGCACACCCATTGTGTGGGACACCGCTGCTGGCACCACCTTTCAAGACATTACCTATCAAATTTCCTCGCAGGACATGTGTGCTCGCATCGCCTTTAACCGTCCCCAAGTGCTGCATGCCTTTCGTCCTCAAACAATCCGGGAAATCCAGCAAGCGCTGGAAATGGCTGTGGACGATGTGGCCGTTGGGGTCATTTTGCTGGCGTCCAACTGTGATGAAACTCAGTATACCCCCGCCTTTTGTGCAGGTGGAGATCAGACTGTCCGTGCCAATGATGGTGGATATCAGGATGGCACAGAAGCCTTTCCCAAATTACGCGTCTTGGATTTGCAAGTACAAATGAGACGCTGTCCCAAACCAATTATTGCCGTCGTGGAGGGATATGCTATTGGAGGAGGACATATCTTGCACATGATTGCCGATTTGACACTGGCTGCCGATAATGCCATTTTTGGGCAAACGGGTCCTCGCATGGGATCCATTGATGCTGGCTATGGTAGTACCCACATGGCTCGATTAGTGGGCCAAAAACGGGCCAGAGAAATTTGGTTCCTGTGTCGCTTTTACAATGCCCAGGAAGCGTATGAAATGGGATTGATCAATGCCCAGTATCCAAAACAGGAGCTAGAAGGACGAGTGGCTCAATGGGTACGACGGATTATCATGAATTCTCCCACAGCCATTGCCTGCGCCAAGGCTGCCTTGAATGCGGACGAGGATGGGGCAGCCGGGATTGCGCAAATGGGGGGAGAAATCACCCGTCTGTTCTACATGTCCAAAGAATCTCAAGAAGGTCGAAACTCATTTTTGGAACGACGAGCTCCTCAATTTCGTAGCAAACTGTAGAAATCAATTAATTTGAATACCTGCTAGCTTCCACCCCCTTCCCAAGCTTAGGCAAGGATAGATTTCACGTGTCATTCTTCTAATAAAAACTGTATTGGGTTCTAAATTGCATGCAAGCAGTTGCACAGTGTGGCCAGGGATAAAACGAGCCCAGAGTCGAGTCTATCGTCCCAACTGTGGAAAAGGGATCTAAAATGTTCATGACTTCGAGGCGTACACCAGATCTGGGAGAGGGCACGCCCAACAATTACAGCAGTGATTCTTCCTTTCATTCATTAGAAGAACCCACCAAAGTTCCGCACCATGTCATCCGTTTTTCGTTGAAACTCTTCTGCCTTGGCTGGATCAGCTGGCACTCCATCATCACCATGCGTGTACATGACGGCCAAATTGTGGCACGATGTCGCGTGGGACCCACTCACACAAGCTTGCAGCAGCAATTGTTCGGCTCGTTTGGGATCCCTTGGTACGGGTGCAGTATCATCAGATCTGCGCGACCGATCTTCCTCGTTGGTTCGTTGGGCCAGTGGCTCGATTCCTCGTGCTTCTTGAGGACTAACATTGTCGGCTTGTTTGCTTACTTTGTCTCCTCTCAACAGCATGCTGGCCAATGTAAAACAACTAATACTGTCTCCGCCGTCACATACTTTTTGATACAAGTCAATTGCCTTGCGAGGATTATGGGGTACACCAGGGCCCAATTCGCCTGCTGGACTACACAAAATTTGGGCTTGGAGATGACAGGCTCCACCATGGCCTCCTCGACAGGCACGGTCAAAATTCCGATAAGCCTCGGCTCGATCGTATTGAATTCCACCCTTTCCTGTCATGAGCATCTGCAATACAAAACAAGCTAATTGTCAGATTTGCCATTTTTGGCAATCTAACATTCCTGGAGCAAATGCACACCTACCTTTGCCAAGTTGAAACATCCAGCCTGAAAATATTAAAAAATGCAATAGAGAAAGGACTTGAGTTTTCAATGCAAATAAATAAACAGAGAATAAACCAGAGATAGCTGTTTCTACATGTATATATTTTTGACTCACTGGATAGGCCTTGGTTCCATCCACCAACACTCCATTGGGAGATTTGTCATTTTTGGGTCTATGACAAATATTTCGGTACAAATCTGCCGCCTCCTTGTGTTTTCTCTCGAACAAACTAAGATATTCTCCAGCTGCAAAGCATGCTACCATGGGACCCTTGCCCCCATCACATGCTTCCAAATAATCCTGGACTTGCTGTTTGGATTCTTCATCGATAATGTTGGGCAATTCAGCAGCAATCTTGTCAATGACATCGTATTCCTTGCCAGTGGGAGTGGGGTATCTGGATTTGCCCGGTTGTCGATCTTGTGGGGTGTCAATGGGCGTCTGGAACATTTCGGCCGTGGCCCGTACTTTTTCCTCGCTTTCCTTGGAGCTGCTGTTACCCATCTTGACAGAAAACTTGGGGGTAATATTGGTGGTTCAGGAAGGATAATAGACTATGCAAAGGCTGATGGAAGGGGTATCAGAGAACAATAGAGTTAATTCAATCTCCATTGTCATGAATTCAATTTAGTTGCTACATGGTTGAGTAAGGTCGATGGAAGAAACCAGAAGGCAAAATCTCAACCAGCCAAGAAAGAAGAAAGGTCGAGAAGAAAAAGATTCCTCAGCCAATGCAAGTGCGACCTTATCCAAAACCTAAGACGTACTTTGTTTGCGGTGGCAACAAAACCACGTTCAACAAATAGTTAGTTGAAGGCAGCAAGAAAGTGTGACGGCTATACAAAATGGTTGTGACGTAGTGGGAACTGCAATTTGGAGACGAGAAAAGATTCCAGGTAGCTTTTCCAATGATGGCGAAAGCAATGGGTGATGCCGAGTCCGCTATGATGTCACTTCACAGCACGAAAAAATGAGGCTAAATAAATCGCAATAAAGGGAGGAAGGGTAAAACAGGCGCGACATCACATCGATTATACCTGCTTTTACCCCCTCTCCTCGAAACATGCTCTTTGGATCTCAAGTGGCTTTGCTGGCTGCCAAATCTGAGCGCCACGGATACCCACATCACGAGAAGCATACGTCAGTCTTTGATCAAACTCACTCAAATTGCGTTCGTACGATGCATTGCGGGTCATGGCCTCGTCCTTTCTCTTTGGAACAATACATCACTGCTTGTTGCTCTATTGGGCTCTCTCTTCCGCATATCTATCTCACAATTTCACAGTCAAGAACTTGAAAACGACAACCAACAACTAATTAACCATGAAGATCTCTCCTCTTGTTTTCCTTCTTGCCGGCGCCCACGGATTCGCCCCCGTTTCCAACATGGCCAGCCGCAGCAGTCCTCTTGCCATGAGCACTGAGACCGAGGCCGGAAAGAAGGTGAGTTCGTGATTGGGACAATTATCTAAATCTTTACGATACCTGATGCTTCTTCAGATTTCTAACTAGAAAATTTATCCTTCTTTCTTAACTGCAGGCTTTCGCCCAGCTCCCTGCCTCTGTCAAGCCAGGTGTTGTCACCGGACAGGCCCTTGTTGACCTTCTGCAACACGCCAAGAAGGAGGGATGGGCCATCCCAGGAGTCAATATTGTTGGAACCAACTCCATCAATTCCTGCATGGAAGCCGCCGCTAAGTACGGAGGTCCCATCATGGTTACTTTCTCCAAGGGAGGAGGTCAATTCATTGCCGGAAAGTCCCTCGGCAACGAAGAAGACTCTGCCTCCATCGCTGGATGCGTTGCCGGAGCCAAGCACGTCCGGGAGGTTGCCGCTCTCTACAATGTTCCTGTTATCCTCCACACTGACCATTGCCAAAAGGCCTGGTTGCCCTGGATGGACGGTCTTCTTGCCGCCAACGAGGAATACTACAAGGATCACGGTGAGCCCCTTTTCTCCTCTCACATGCTTGATCTCTCCGAAGAATCTTTGGAAGAGAACATTGGTATCTGCAAGGAATACATGGAGAAATTCGCCAAGCTTGACATCCTTTTGGAATTCGAACTTGGTGTGACTGGAGGAGAGGAAGATGGTGTTGATAACACTGAAATCGACTCCGCTCGTCTTTACACCCAGCCCGAGGAGGTCTTCTACGCCTACGAACAACTTTCCCAGGTCCCCAACGCTGCCTTCACTTGCGCTGCTTCCTTCGGAAATGTTCACGGTGTCTACGCTCCCGGAAACGTCGAGCTCCGACCTGTCATCCTTCACAACACTCAAGAGTACATCTCTGAGAAGCTTGACTCAGAGGACAAGAAGCCCATGCTTTTCGTCTTCCACGGAGGTTCTGGTTCTTCCCCAGAAGACATCCAGTACGCCATTGATGCTGGTGTCATCAAGATGAACATTGATACCGACACACAGTGGGCCTACTGGGACGGTGTCCGTGAGTACGAAGCCAAGCACCACGACTACCTCCAGGGACAAATCGGAAACCCCGATGGTGACGACAAGCCCAACAAGAAGTACTACGATCCTCGTATGATGCTCCGAGCAGGAGAGGAAGCCATGGCTGAGCGTTTGTGCAAGGCCGCCGAGGACTTGAACTGTGTCAATGTCCTCAACTAAGCGTGAGAACTACAGTTCAAGCGGAACAGCAAGTCCAAGGTCCTAGGCGAATAACTTTGGCATGAAGAAAGACACCGATCTGTACTGTACTTGGATATAGTCACACATGCTCCATTTGGAAGCTACCACTTCTGAAGAGAACACTGGGTCAATAGAATATTTATTAGCGCAAATTTTACCACACATTTTTGCATCTCACCACGCATTGAAGCCGAGTAGCTGTCACGATCTGCATACCTTCACGTCATTGGAACGCCTATGTATGAGCTGCCAACATTAGTACGGGTAGCACTACAAACAATCGACACATGTTATGCATGGATCTTTCGCACGAACAAGGGATACATGGCATCACAAAGTGAGGCCAAGATCGTTGAGGCTTGCCGCTGTACCGTTATGAGCCGGTACACTACACATTGTTCAGACCGAAGGCTACCAGTACGTTTGCGCGAAAAAAGCCCACTGCTGTTGCAACAAATGATGGACATCGTTAAAAAAAGAGTAGGATGCACCAAGTGCTTGCAATGACATCTAGAGATACAATGGGGTTGTCGTGTTCATTGCCCCCGCGAACTTTGCCACCTTACTGGGTCTGTTACTAAACCCAGACTCCGCTCCCCCCAAATCCACCGCGCTTCTCTTTTCCCCTGATGATGCATGCTTCAAGTAACGTTCAAAGTAGATAGCGCAGGCCTCAATGGCACCATTGTCACCTCCACAGGCGTCTAGATCTACCGCCAATTCCAACAATAGGTTGTAATAGTCGTCGTCGCCGTTGTCGTCAGGAAGTGGCGCCTGTTCGTTGCTACTATTGGATTTGGCCCGTTGCACCATTCGAGCCAAAAAAGTAGCACAATCCCGCAAGACGGCTTCGTCGGTACAATCTCGGAGCTGAACGATGAGAGGCATGAGACGTCGAAAGGCATTTGACTTGTTTGGTGGTGGATTGGCGGCACGCTCATCCGTATGGCCGTTGCCTGCTAACTTGGCTGTCAATTGATTGGGAGTCATTCCCATGTGTTTGGAGAGGACACGGATGCTTTCCGCAACTGTCTGACCCACTGTGTTGTCCGATGCGGGTGGTTTGGCATCTAGCAGTTGCGAGGTTCCCTCTGTCTTTTGGTTGTCGTTGCTTCCCATGTCACCCATCAGAATGGAATCATTTGGAAGTACTTCGTCGTCCTCCTTCTTGGCAGGCGGAGCCGGTGGTCGTTCTGGAAAGTTAAAATTGAGACGACGGAGTAAAAGCTCTCGGCCTACTTCCAACTTGTGACTCTTGTATTTTTCCTTTTGTCGCTGGATCCATCGGGACAGGCTGCTGGCATCAGTACCACCCAGTAGAGATGGCTGGAAGCTGGAATTCCCATCTTCCCTGACGATTTGACACTGAAATTTAAAATAAAAAAACAGAGTTGGAATGAAACGAATGTCAGTCAGTGTTGAACTTGAAGAGGGCAACAAACACAAACAAGAGCAGCAACCAATAATTTATGCGCAGAAGTACGGTACCTGCTTGAGCATGTTGAACATTTTGTTCCATTCTTCCTGTGACTTTTTGGCTTGAAACTTCCAGATAAAGCCCACGGATTCCAACTTTTGCACTCGTTCTTTGGACAATTGATCCCGTGTATGCTTGAGTCGCTGTGCTCCTACCCATTTCTCCAATGGATTGGGGTCCGCATCTAGGCGTGGGACATTGACATGACCATGTTTCTCTTTGAACTGCAAGAGCTGGTCGTACATTCGCTGCCATGCCGCTTCGGTTTTGGCATTGCCGCCCTTGTTTTTGTGTCCCTTGGTGATTCGAAACGTAAAACCAATAGAATCGAGTTTCTTTTTCCGTTGCGGATTCATTCGTCCCATTTGATAGTCTTCTCGTTGACGGGCCACCCACTTGCCCAGAGACGGATCTTCGGCATGGTGACACTTGATCTTGGTATGACCATGCGTCTTGTGAAACGCCACCATTTTTTTGAATTGATCATTCCATTTTTTCTCGTGGGGACTCCACACGAAATCCACCGCTTCCAAGGACTCGATGCGTTCTTGGCTCAATTGCCCCGACAAAAAGTACTCTCGATTGTGCGAACACCACTTGCCCAAAATGGGATCTTCCTTCCATCGCATGGGGACTTGGCTGTGTCCAGTTTGCGCATGAAACTTGAGGAGTTCTGGGAGGAGAGAGAGAGAGAGGAAAAGAGGGATCAGCAGGGATAAGCTGGGTCTCCAAACTGCGGCGTCGAAGTAGTGCGGTGCTCTTCACTTACCGGCATAATTCTCGTCCCACGTTCGATGGCGTGACTTCTCTCCTTTGCCAGCGGCGGCAAGCGGCAACTGTTGCAATGACATGGTGAAAAGGTGGACGTCTTCGAGCTTGGGGCTTTCGGAGAATGGCGGCGGTGCGTTGGTCGTTTGCGACGAGGGTGGTCTTTTCCAAAGTGGTCTAAAAAGCCGATGTTGGTGTCGCGGGTTGATCTTCGTCCAAAAGCCAGCTGAAGCTGTTGAATTCGTGAGGTCTCCTCACGATTTAAACATAGAAGGGGGTCTGGGGGTACGAGTTTAATAAAGGAAGTGGGTGAGACACGTAGAAAGTGTACCAGCGCTACAGCCCAAAAATGGACCAAAACCGTCTATAAGCAAATGACTGTCTCAATGTCCGATTGACCCATAAGTAGATTAATACGAAATCGACCTCAAGTACCATTGACTCATAGCATGTTACCCATACTGACCACATGATTTAACATCACATACCCTATGTTAAACGTGTATTTCATTTTCGTTATACTTTTTGTGAGATTGTTAAATATTTTGGTCCATTATTGAGTCCCGTTAACTCAGCAAATAGAGAGTGAGACAGAAGGTTTCCGATATTGTACTGTTTTTGCTATAGTATCGCTGATGTCTCAAATCGATGGACCAAAACCGACTTTATACCTGTAGCTCGTGCAATTTACTTTGGCTCTATTGAATAGGAGTAAAGAGTACAGAAGCTGATTCTGCAATTATGAGGTCTTCTTGAAGTGCATTTGGTGGGTTAAAGCATGCACTAGTAAAAAGTTAGGATTGTTTCAAAGGAATTCGTTTGACATACTTTAAACCATCACTTCTGGTTATGGTTTGAAGCCTACCAAGAAAGCTAGATGATTTAACACCAGATTCATGAAAAGCTAGTAAGACATTTTACACAAGTTCAATGAATTCCTAGGAATGCACTAGGAGGATTACGGTGGAATCTATGATTTACAAGCTACAGCTACTAACTGCTCCAGACTCGCCCCAAAAGCAGCCTACAGCGTAAAGTGGCATACATTACAATGGTACTAGTAATAAAGCATCCACAGTGTGATGCTGTGTTTGCAAAGAACTATCCTACTCTTTTACTATACGGTAGTATACGTTTGCACAGAGGCTTGCAAGAATCGTGCAGTATTGTACTCCCATTTATTTCATTGGATGTAATGAGAGCAATGCTGCATACATATAAGTAACCACGGAGGTGAGACATGTGTCACCGAGTATTGAAATGTACAGTCGTACTCAATTGCTATGGTGCAAAGCAGGATTCAAAGCAAAATGAGGTATTGCGCTTATATCTTTCAACTAATCAGTAAGAGTGAAGAACAACCGATTCGGCATTGGCTAAACTAAGATAATATCTCGAAAAGGACGTAAGTGGCTCAGTAGTAAGCTCGACACTATTTTCCTATAGTAAATCACTCTGCCAAAGATACCAACACAAGGTTGCACCCCTTCTCGATTTTGACTAAGCAAATACAGTATAAATGAGATATCCAAGTGCAGTCATGGATTTTCTAATTTTGTACTCATTTACTATACATTCAGATTTACAGATGCACTACGCTAAAAGCTAGTGTAAAGATCTTTCGAGTGTTTTGAGTTTGAGAGAATGAAAGTTATGAGAGGATTAGAAAGCTATGAAAAACTAATCAACGAGAGAGATCCACATCAAGGATCGGTATCTGAACTCCCGCGGGAACTGTAGAGTGAGATAGAGTAGGTTGCGGTGCAATCCCTAGCTACTCCACGATCCAAAACGGAACGCGTGGAAGATTCGTCTAAGCATTTATCTAGTAGCGTGGAAGTACTCCACGCTGGTAAAATATCTAGAGCGATGTTTCATCATCAACTTAGTATGACTAGAGCGGTCATTGAGAATTTGTCTCTCCAATGATTTTCGCGAAGGACTAGTCATAAGTCGAACTCAGACCCTAATCTAGGATCGAGTCGCGGAAATAAGGCTAAGAGCCGTGTATTGCATTCGCCCCTGACAAGGGTCACGGAAGGCACGACATCAGTCGGACAAGGAGAACATATGAATTAAAGTGCGGGGCACTCTCCGGAGATTGGATGTAGACATGTGCGTCGCACGATGGCAATCCTACAAGGGGATCAGGCCTTGTATGGGTGTAAATACCTTATGTTCCAAGTCTGGTAGACTGTGCCGCTATTGTGCGGTAGATGTCGAGCGTACAGTGCATTGTTTTGACTCGGTCTGTGTGGTAGGACCTTGTGCGTTGGCTGACCGTATTAACGGTTCTGATACTGATGATCATCATATTGTCGTTGACATGGTGTTATTAGGGACACGTTCGCTGTTCTCCTTTGGTGTTTTTTTGGATAAGTCGTTGGGACGCTCCTTAATTATTTCCGGTTTTCTCTGAAACGGATGTGGTTGAAGCTTTGTCACGATTGACACGCCGGAACTTGCACCGAAGTCCATGTTCATCCCTAGAGTCTTCTCGACCTCTTACGCGGGACTCACGTCTTCTGTCCATGACGACCGGTAATGGATACTGGGTAACCCACGCTCTGTTTCAGAACGATGGTTACTCCTCTGCTTGTCATGTGAGAGCCCTTGGTAGTTTTCATTGGTGCCAATGAATTCGTATACGAAGTTATATTCCATTGTTGGTAGGAAGGGCGATGAGTCGGCGTGCTGATCGCATTTGTTATCTTTTTATTAAGAGTTGGGCTTCCTTCTCGAGAGTACAATGTGTCCTAGATACTCCAGTTCTGTCCTATTCGAGGAAGGGGCCTTGGTAGTTTGTTTTCAATCCCGACTTCTTGAGTCTTTGGGGGAAAGGTCCATCCCGTACTGTCAACGCGGTCTGCGAGATCGACGTCCGTTAGGATGAGTTGCTGTGATTCACTCAACGTATGCACGGACATTTTCTAAGTATTGCATGCGTGCTTTCATCCTTCCTTTTGAAGATGTCGGGACTATTACATAGGCCCATTGGCTAACCTCTGGTACTCGTGCTTTCCCTTCGGGAGTGCAATGGTTTAGTGTTGCTTCGAGTGAGGTGACAGCTCGATGTGGTAGTGTCCCGTGTTTCAGGTCTAGACTGGTAAGCGCACTTGAATTCTCTGGGTTCAAGAGCAGGTCCCTGTATTTTTGGGATGGAATAAGGCTTCCGCTTAATCCCGTTTGTTATGTTCCCGAAAATCCGAGATAAACCGTGCAGATCCCTCTTTCTTAGGAATGATAAAATTGGTGCCGCCCACTTGGAACAATTCACTTCTTGGAGTGCCCCTGTTTCGTCCTAGACGTTCAACCTCCATTCTTAAGAGTGTTGGTATGGACTCGTGGAGTAGGTGAGCCCTAGTGATAGAGGATTTAGCGTCGGGACGAAGTCTAACTTCGTAGTTCGTCCCGATGTTCGCAACTCTCCCAAAAGTATCCTTGACTGGGCCGGAGCACTTAGTGTTGAAAAGGCGTGAGGCAATTCTTGCTCGCTCCTTGTTTAACGGATTTCGACTCTGGCTATCTGCCTTAAGCCATTTGTTCGTATGTCGTATCAAAATCTCTTGAGACTATCTCATTGTCGCTGACAGCTCGCAAGAATCGGAAATGGAGAAGTTTCTCCTTTCTCTTGGTGTTGCTCTTTTTCGCGGGAAAAATGCTATGTTCACACCCCAATGACCATGGTAGTGAATCAAACTTGATTCTTAGATCGCGAGAGATGTGCTAGACCGGATATGAGCTGATTAGGATGATACGCGCCCACCAAGTTCTTGGTGTACGTGTAATTCCACTTGATAATTTCAATCATCGTGGAACTCGGAACAGCGAGTGTGCCCTTACACTTCGTGGGGGGTCTCAATTCTCTTCTAGAAGCAGTCTGTAGATGTTTGGACGCCCCAATGATTCCTTCATGGTAAACTCTTAGCATGATTTTTAGCAAATGAAAGTTCCGAATGCTTCTGTATCAGTAAGCCAACAGAGTGTCAAAACGCGGGTTTTCGTTCCCCTTTCGCTCGTCTGTTAAATCTAACATAGACGATAGTTTCAAGGCCTCTTGTCGTGCGACGTTGATGAGTTGATCGGCCATGGACGAAGTTAACGATGCTGAACAGATCGTCAGTGTCTAGTTGAGCAGTTGTTGGGCAATTATCTAATTTGCCGTAGCATTCATCAGTTGCAAACAAATATTGTTTACTATTTAGTGAGATATCTTTCTCACTTAGGTATGAGAAATCGGAACATGGTTCCGTTGAATTATCATCCTGGCCTAATCCTCAGACGGAGATCTTTCCATCCGAATGATTGAAGTCGAATTCGGCAAGCGCCTTGTCGTCAGCGGCCATCTTCTTGTTCCATCATGTTGATGGATCCAACAGAGGAGTCGTCCTCGTTGTAGGAAAAGTTGATACTCACAGCCACTGCACCGGCTATTGCAACATGGAGTTGCACACAATTCTTGCTGCTGGGAGGCATTGCCGTTGACCAGCGAGCGTTGGAGAGAGCATGTCGCAGTTGAGCGACGGATAGCACGAGTTCTCTTTAAGGTGCACTGGCGCGTCTGACTGCGTTTCCAATCTTGTTCTTTGTTGTACTTGGCTGTATCGTTGTAGACGAGGACTGAGACTTGGCCTTGACCTTCTTCAAAGTCATGCAGTCAGCCGTGTTGTGAGTGCTGGACTCGTGGTAGTCGCACAACTTTTCTTCGTTCTTGGAAAAGTGGTCGTTGTTGCGAGTAGATTTTTACTTCTTGCTGTTGTTTCTTCTTCGTAAGGAGCTGCTTGGCATCCCCGCCCTTGTCCAAGTCTTCGGAGGATTCCATGCGTTCGAAGAATCAAATGGTTTCTCCGATAGGAGCTGAGAAGATCGAAGTCGTTCGCCATCTTCTCATCTCCCGAGCGTGGAATCCAGACAAAAACAATGCAATGATTCGTCATGGTTTTCAACGTTTGGTTGAGGTCCAAACAGGTGGTAGACGAGGAAGTTCATCGGTGTTAATCCGACTGAGGTTTTTGACATAAGCCCGAGTAGACAAATCAGCAGGCCCTACCGCATCTTGCGGCGCATGAAAGCGTTTCTGCTTTTTCAAGCGCCTTGTAGGCACAGACCGCTTCGACACAGGCCATTTATGCCAAACTTAATGTCAACGTCGTCCAACGCAGGCTGAGCTGCTCCGTTCCAGGCAGCCTGGAAACGTGCTTGCAAAGTTGCTTCGTCTTCGCCGCCACGTACATCGCGGTG